TCCACAATCGCCTAGCTCATGCTGGCTGGCAGCCACGGACCTCACGACAGTTGAGTAAGGGGGGAGCGATGCTACCTTCGCAAGTCACTGCTCAACCTGCGCGGGGTCGGGGGAGGTGCGCATGATAAATGCACCGAGAAGACCACAAGAACAAACAACCGAGCGAGATGTCAAGCGACATGGTTGGGAGCGTGCGGGAGACGAGGGCTAGGTCGCCGGATCTTGCTGCACTCTTCGTCCCTGTGCTCATCTTGGCTGGCCTGGCTGCCGATAACTGACGCTTTCGATAGCTCGCATGACGGCTGGCTGTTCAAGTGAGAGAGAGTCAAAACACCGGTCGCAAACATTGAAAGGCAGTGTGAAAGAAGGGTGAGCATGAATGATATGGCCACTTCAAGAATGCACTACAAACCAAGGACGCGGGGTCTCTCTTGCCACCAGGACACGGGCGTGACCTGTGAGCTTGGGAGCGCCGTCACTTCCTTCGGTCAGGAGATGCTGGGGTCACGTGCCCGTCCCATCGGTCATCGAGCGTTCGGCGTCGGCATGACCTCGCTTGAATGTCGGACAAGAATGAGGGGTGCCGTGATGGCTGAGGACATCAGCACGTTAGCCTAAGCATTTACCCACGATGAATACTCCACTTGATGGGGAGAATAGACGGAATATCGGGACGTCGTTCAGGTAGCTCGCGGCCTTAGAGCTTGCTTATTGGCCGCGCCGAAGAGAGAGCATGACCAAGGCTTGTTGGCAGGCAGCCCCGCGCCGGCCAAGACCCGATTGCTGCCGGTCCCCGCGGAGGGGGCGGCGGGGAAACTGGCCGAGACTGGAGAAATCAAGTGGACGCGGGTCACGACCTTGGAGTTCGTGCCTCATTGCCGCTGCCGGCTGCCTTTGGGCGTCACAGAAAAAGGGTGGGAGTGATTAATATAATAGGGATGAGCTCTAGTCTTTCTTTGACAAGTCCCGATGCCATATTTCTCCTCATCCTACATTTACCTCTACTCTGGATCGCTTGCTAGACACCCCTCGTGTCACCTCCGCTACAATGGTTGTCGAGCTGGACGTCGAGGCTCTGCTCAAGAAGCTCACGAATTCCGAAAAAGTTGACCTGCTGGCAGGTTTGTACCCTCACATTTCCGATCTGAGCCTAGACGAATAGTTGCCACTGCGACAGATGCTGACACCGCCGCTCAGGTATCGACTTCTGGCACACCAAGGCTCTTCACAAGCATGGAATCCCCTCGGTTCGCCTCAGTGATGGCCCCAACGGCGTTCGCGGAACCAGGTTCTTCGATGGTGTGAAAGCCGCCTGTTTCCCCTGTGGCACAGCCCTCGGCGCCACCTTCAACACTGCTCTGCTTGAGGAGGCCGGCAGAAAGATGGGCGAGGAGGCCAAGTTGAAGGGAGCCCATTGCATTCTCGGCCCAACAATCAACATGCAACGCGCGCCCCTAGGTGGGCGTGGATTCGAATCGATCGGCGAAGATCCTGTCCTGGCTGGCCTCGGGTCTGCTGCTATTTGCAACGGTATTCAGAGCACTGGCGTCCAGGCCACCCCCAAGCACTTTGTCTGCAACGATCAGGAGCACAGGCGCAACGCCGTACAAAGCATACTAACTGAGCGCGCTCTGCGCGAGATATACGCCATGCCATTCCAGCTGACAGTCCGTGACTCTAAGCCGGGAGCCTTCATGACAGCATACAACGGCGTTAATGGTGTGTATTGTAGTGAGAATCCCGATATCCTTGAAAAGATGCTCCGGAAGGAGTGGGGATGGGACGGTATGGTCATGAGCGACTGGTATGGTACTTACACTACGACCGACGCTGCCAATGCCGGCCTGGATCTCGAGATGCCTGGCCCGCCACGCTTCCGTGGCGAGCTTCTCAAATTCTCCGTCTCTACCGACAAGGTCCAACAACACGTGCTGGACGAGCGAGCTCGTGCTATGCTTGTGTTCATCAAGAAATGTATGAAGCTCGGCATCCCAGAAAATGCAGAGGAGAAGACAGGCGATACGCCTGAGACGGCGGAACTTTTGCGCCGGATCGGCGGCGAATCCCTTGTTTTGTTAAAGAACAAGAACAGCGTGCTTCCACTGAAGAAGAATAAGAAGGTAGGTCTCACGCCCGCTATGCACGCCCGCCACCATCGGGCCCCTCCATCCCCCCAAGCATTCAAGGTTGCCCGAAGCTAATGGAAATGCTCGATAAGACTGTCATCATAGGTCCCAATGCGAAAATCGCAACCTATCACGGCGGCGGCTCAGCCTCTCTTGCAGCATACTACGCTGTGACTCCCTTCGATGGTATCAGCCAAAAGCTTCAATCCGAACCCATTTACGCACAAGGCGCCTATTCCCACAAGCTGTTGCCCCTACTGGGCAACGTGGTCAAGTCGCCGTCCGGGGAGCGAGGAATGGTCTTCCGAGCATATACCGACCCCCCCAGTGTTACTTCTCGCAAGCCAGTCGACGAGCGCATCCTGACGAACACGGAACTCAACCTCGTCGATTACTACGTAATAAAAAACCCGCTGTGGTACGCCGAAGTAGAGGGCTCCTTCGTTGCCGAAGAGGACTGTGAATATGAACTTGGTCTCATAGTTTGCGGTACAGCCAACCTCTTCGTCAACGGAATGCTGGTCATCGATAATGAGACGAAGCAGCGCCAAGGCGATGCGTTTTTCGGCACTGCTACGGTCGAAGAAAGGGGCACGACCGAACTCAAGAAGGGCGAGACCTATACATTCAAAGTCCAATTCACGTCAGCCCCCGCATCTAAGCTTCAGGGCAATAACGTCGTCTTCGGCGGTGGCGCACTACGTATTGGCGGCTGTAAGGTCATCGACGACAAGGAGGAGATACGCAAAGCGGCGGAACTAGCAAGCGATGCTGATCAGGTCATTATCTGTTCTGGCCTGAATGCCGACTGGGAGACTGAGGGCCACGACCGCGACCATATGGACCTGCCTGGCTATCTCAACAAACTTATCTCTACCGTCGGCAAAGCAAACCCCAACACAGTAGTGGTGAACCAATCAGGCACACCGGTCACTATGCCATGGATCAATGATGTAGCAGCCGTTATCCAGGCGTGGTACGGCGGTAACGAGACCGGCAACGCTATCGCGGACGTTCTCTTCGGCGACGTGAACCCCTCTGGCAAGCTCTCCCTAAGCTTTCCTATTCGAGTACAGGACAACCCGGCGTTCCTGAACTATCGTGCTGAATTCGCACGTACATTCTATGGCGAGGACGTATATATCGGCTATCGGTTTTACGAGTACGCAGACCGCCCTGTCCTCTTCCCCTTCGGCCACGGCCTATCCTATACCACCTTTGAGTTCTCTGATCTGGCCGTTTCGGATCAGAACCATAACCTGAAGGTGGAGCTATCAGTTAAGAACACGGGGTCCATCGACGGCGCTCAAGTGGTCCAGGTCTATGTGGCCCCCAGGCAGAAAGCAACGAAGGTCAATCGTCCGCTGAAAGAACTCAAGGGCTTTGGCAAGGTGGCGCTCGTGGCGGGCGAGACCAAGAAGGCAATCATCAACATCTCTCCCAAATACGCTGCGAGTTACTGGGACGAAGACCGGCACCAATGGTGCGCTGAAGAGGGGGAGTACGAGATCATCGTTGCCGATAGCTCGGTCGTGACGGATAAGGCGCTCAGGGGATCCTTTACTGTTGCTGAGACATATTGGTGGTCCGGTGTGTGAATCAAAAAGGGCGTCGCGTTCTATTATGTAGAAGGTTTTCAAGAAGATTGGATTTATACAACAGCCAACACCAATGATCTTTCCTCGCGAGTAGCCTTGATGTAAAGCCCTGTACTTCCTCATGGATGCTGGTTGGTGCACGATCACGTGATACCGCGTCATGTTGACCAAGCGCCTCTCTCTCTTCTGTGACCTTACACGTACAGCAATCGCCCTCTCCAACCAGATCGGCTGGTACAGGATACCTCCATGCACGCGCCATGGTCTTGAACGCTCCAGTCCCGCATGCGCTGCCCACAGTCGTCTCCCTGAAACAGACGTTTCTCGAATCGCAGACGCGTTTGCTTTCTCTGAATCTTGCCCCAACTCGCCGGTGGCGCGCTGATAATGCTGCGGCAGTCGAACCCTTACCGGTTGCTGCAATCGATGACGCGCTCCTCGGCCTTGCCCAAACTCTTCAGCAGCACGCCCGTCGGATCTATCCTCCACAGTCAACGCGCCTCATTGCGGAACAGATCGATAAGCTGTACCAGACCGAGGATGAGACGACAACGTGGGACAGCGGTGAGCTCATCGCTACAAACGCCGACCTGAGTATGAGAGCAATCGCCTCCCTCCCACTTCGTACCTTGTGGTAACCTGGCTGACGCTTCCATCATTTCGGCCCGAAGGCGACGAAAAGTCCATCGCCTCACTTCCACCCACCTGGCCCATGACAAAGGACTTGGATGCTCTACCCATGGAGGCCAAGCGGTATGCTGACCATGTATCTGTCCTGAATGCTCTCGTCGCGAGGCGGGCACAGGTACATGAGCGCATCGAGCAGCTGTGCCGTCTAGAGAAGGCCATTCGGCCCTACCGTATAAGTGACAACGGCCTTGGTCTGCAAGAAAACGTGGTCACTCGCGGCGGCGAGGTCGAGAGGGAGCTGGAGCGTATGCGCATGCTTCTTGTGCGTGTTAGTGGCCGCATTGCATCATTGCCTGCACCTAACAGTGAGGGTAGAAAAGGAACTCATTCCATCGCTGGAGCTGAGGAGGACAAAATCCAACAACTACTGCGCGAGTTTTGATATTCTGATCCAAGTCATTCGCGGCAACATTTCAAAGGACTGCGAATGAGTAACGACTAATGAGATACATGATAACTTATTACTTGGTATCGATACTTTAGGTTACTGTCACTGGCGTTTGCTGCCAGGCCGGGATGCCACGAAGAGAACTGTCCGCCCATCTAGTCAACAGGTGACAACTTGACCTATGACAATGCATCAGCATCAGCCGTCACTGGTGTGGACCACGATGCTTTTCTTCCTCTGCTTGATACCCCCATTCAGAGTCGCATCTTTTTCCGTGTCGTCAATATCAAGGCCCTTTGTCATCTCCGCAACCTGCATGGCAGTATCCAAGGTTTCGCTTTCGACCCTGGTCTGAAGAGACAGGACCTGCAACGTGACCACATCACCTGTTTCTTGTTGGACTTGCGACTCGGGCCCGACCATGTGATATACCCTCAAACCGACCACAACTACAGCGTTCCAGGGGTTCATCTCAAACTCGTCCGGCTCTTCTGGAGTGGGCAATGGTGAGGTGGAAGGACAATGGCACAGGGAGCCTGTGTTGTTGTTGGTCGGGTTGCCCATATTTTTGTTCGTCGCTGCGTTCTCGATCTCTTTGCCCCGCATTTCTAACAAAGCTGAAATGAAGTTGCTCTCTTCGTGACCGCCTTCAGAGCTGTTGAAACTGCGATTGTCAGAATTTACATCTGGCTGACGCCAAACTGTGCGACCGGTCCTCGTGAACCTGCTCTCCTGGTTTCCTGTCCAATCACAAGATCTCCGCTTCCCGCCTTCCTGAAGTATGCTTCGAATGGTCGAGCGTAGTTTGTCTTGTTCGTGGGCACCCCGCACCTTCTCGTCAGAGGCGCGCGTAGATTTTGCGTTGGCTCCCATTAAACCTTTCCCATGAGCGATATCATATGCCAATCCGGTATGCATTAACTTGTCCCGCCGACTTTTGGCGTACTTGCGAATCACTTGATGGGTGGGAAGTAGGTCGTCGTTGCGAGTGGCTTCAACACGGACGTGGACTTCGTAGTTGCCAGCTTCAAGATCAATCTCGACGTTGACCGATCTTCTCATTCGGTATGCAGGCTCGCTGCGAACGACGTATGCCTCTCCATCGCCAGCTCTATGCAAGCGGAAGCCGAGGTCAAATCGATATTGACCTTCCAGGCCTCGAAAGTAGCGATCATCCAGCTGTGATAGCACGATGACCACCGGCCCAGCCCTAGTAATAGTCAGAGCGAAAGAAGTTTTGTGGTAGTCCGAAACCCAGGGAACCTCTAGAGTGGTCCATTTCGTTATCGAAGTCCAGTCGGGGCCAAAGAGGCGAGTAACGTCGAACATTGAATACTTCTTTAAGAGGTCGGTATAAGAGATCCAAAAGGCTCCATCATCGCCGAAAGTGTGGTTGAGTTGCCGTAGCCATTCTGGAGTCCATTCCTTCGAGCCATCAGACCATGCACCTTATATTTCGTTAGCAAAAACTACGCCAGACAGGGGGGTGGGGGACGAAAACAACTCTCAGGAGAAGAACGCATTGGCCTGACCTTTCCACTCTCCTTTGCCCCATGGATTCTTCAGGTGAACAAGGCGTTCCCCGTTGAGCTCAACTGCCTTCATCACACTGTACGCATGCATCTCGACGATTCCATTACGCTCACCCCGGCCTCTTGAAGCGAACCCAGTCGAGCAGCTGATGAGGCAATCTTGATTCACGCGCAGCAACTTCTGCTTCCAGAAAACCTCTTTGCTCAGAATATCTGTGGTGTAGAGCTCAGTCGTAACCCCTCCGGTCAAGTCTTCGACGGCCTCGCCAGTAAAACCGCCCTCGATGGCAGAGTAATCACCATGAGCTTTCGCGTAAGCCTTTTCCAATAGCGGAAGCCACGTTTCGTTTGGATTCTCACATTGGGCGAAATACAAGGCGCCGCTGTTTGACTGGTAGATTTTGCGGTAGGCATCTTCTGAGTTGATGCGTTCTCGGTCATCCCAAAGATTTCGCTCAAGATAGCTTTCGTCATAGTCAGGTTTTGTGAGGTAAAGCTATCAATTGAGGTCAGGTGGTGACCCCAATAGGTTTACTTGCCAACCGCGAAAGTGATTTTGAGACGAAGAAGGGGTTCCATCGTACCTTGTCGTCAATGATGACACTGAACCACTCAGCGTCACGATGGAAGACGAAGCCATAGACGCCAACCTCCTGGTCATGCGAAACACACACCCTTTCGATCAGGCCAGGCTTATTGCTGAGGCCGCACAGGGCTGCCATAAGCCAACAATCGCCCCCACGACCTTGGCGCACATCGTTGGCAGTAGCGTCGTCGATGTAAAATTGAGGCTCATCAAATATGTCGACCACGCGTTTAATGGACCTCGGTCGCAGCAAAGGATCCGGCGGCTCTCTGTCTTTAATGTTCCAAAGGGAGTCGAGACAATTTCGACTTCCGAATTTCAAATCGAACTCGAGATCAAAATGCGGGTCGCGATACTTCTGGTTAACAGCGCGGCATTCATCCACGATCTTGCGCACTTTGATCCGGCAGAGGGCCACTGCTTCATCGAATGAGGTATGTGTCGTTCTCTTGACTGCCTTTTCAACGTGGGGGTTCCTGGGAATGATAGTAGTGGCTACCGGTCGTTGATTAGTCTTCAAGTCATTTTTATGAAAGGTTACAGTGCATGTATGATACCCTTGCCCGGAGCTTTGGTGGTAAACTTATCCCAGAACTCGTCAATAGCCGCTTGAGGCGCTTGCTGTATCCTTTTGCCTTTAGATGCGGCTGCGGCGGCCATTGTGTAGTTGATGACGGGCTGGCACCTCGATCTCCGGCTGATCGGTGGCACAGGCAGACGAATGAGAAAAACAAAGTAGCGCGCAACGATACGCAGAATAAACGGCGAACGTCGGCACAAAGCATGCAGTATCACGGGAGAGGCGGCGTGTTGATGAGGGTCGAGACACCAACGTGCTCGGGTTAGGCAAAGCTGGAAACATGTCAAGCTTCACCAGACCCAGGCAGCGACCGCCACGCAGAGAGGGGGGTTGCAGCTGCCCATAAAGAGGCAAGCAAATGAGGCTGAGCATCATGGTTCCCACCGCCACCATGATTGGACGTCGGTGCAGTGACATTAGCAGTAGTCCGCGTGAGTACATGGTAAACTGCGTCTGCATGTGCCGTCTGCATTCGCACGCAGCACAAACCACCGGCGTGAGCCAACGTGGTCTGCCAAAGTTCTACACAAGCACGGAAACCCCTAGCGACCAGATCTAGGCTCCGATTGTCGAGCGCCTGGTGAAAGGGAATATCGCGTCTGCTTACCGCGCACACCTGGAAGCAGTGCACAGTAAGGTAGATGAGGTATTTCATGTCTACATCGCGACAATCAAGTCGACTGACGTCCCTGTTCGTTCGCCGTTCGAGTGAAATATTCTACGTAGCCACAGTCACTCCCTCCCCTCAACCCAACCAGCTACCGCTGCAACCAATCTCAAACTGAGCCCTCTTTAGAAGAGGGGTTATCGGTCCAGGGCCTCTGAGTTTGACATTTGGTATCTACTGCCGTCGTCGGGCAGAAAATCTTGCTGTGTCGCCCACCAGGCCTGGCAGCTTCACCGACGCTCCGTGAGTCCAACTTCTTCAAGACGCCCAAGAAGTCGCCCAGCTGCTAACCACGAGTGTCGCACGATAACGGCTCGCTATGCCACTCTGCCAAGAGTCTCTACTCAATGACCGTCTGTCTGCGCTGTCCCATTTGCCGCTCAAACGTAACCGGGGTCCACAAGAAGACCCGAGCCTTACGTTCGCCGTGCCCAAAATAAATCCTAGGGGCATTAGGCCGTGAAGTTATTGGTAATCGTAGGTTTCCTCCTTCTCATCCACCGCGAGAACTCTGTGCGAGCTGGACTTGCGTAATAGTCAAGGACCGTATTACAGGAGTTGTAGTCAAAAGAATGTATGATTCGTTGAATGAAAGCTTGAGCCGTGTCCGAGGGTTTGAAAATCCGACAGAGCTGAAGAAGAGGAATGTGTCCGAGACGCCGTAGAGATAAAAACAAGTGATGCGTCCTATGTCCATGAGTAATGTTTCGTGTGGATAGCGTGAGCCCGTGCGTAATGAATAGCGTGAAAGAAAGAAAAAGTTGAGGTCGTTGTGATGATGGTTCTAAAGCAAGATCCGTTTCGGCCTAGGTACGCACGGCACAGAGACCGAAGCAAGTGACCAAGCCGAGACTCCTGGAAAGCGGGCCAGCGCAGGTGACAAGGCGTGCCTGTCCGACCAGTAACAGGGGCGGGAGACGGGCTTTTTCTTCTTAGGCAACGGGGGCCAATGGAGCGACAGGCGGCGCCAAATTGGCCGTAGCGTTGAGGTCGACAACATCGTTGGGAATCTCGCCATTGGCGACCTTCTGCGGGCAGTCGCGCGAGATGTGACCAGCCTCACCGCATTGGTAGCAGGTCTTTCCAGCGGTGTTGAGCGGTCCACCGTTGGGCGCGGTGCAATCGCGAGAAATGTGGCCGAGCTTGCCGCAGGCGTAGCACTTCATGGCTTGAGCCTGGCAGTCGCGCGCAAAGTGGTTAGGTCCTCCACACTTGTAGCAGGTTGCGGGGCGCGGACCGCCGGCGAAGCCGCCTCGTGCAAAGCCACCATATCCGCCGCGGGGAACGGGAGCACCACGACCCAGGCCAACACCAGCTGGGGTAGGGCAGGTTCGCTGGAAAACGAATTTCGTCAGAACGCAGATCGAGACTTGCATTGGTAGATGGAGCTTGGCTTACGGCGAGATGACCAGGCTGGCCGCAATTGTAGCAGCGACCACTAGTACCTGCACCGCTCAAGCGAAGAGTCGGGCAGTCCGCCTGAACGTGGCCAAGGCCCTGGCAGTGGTAGCACTGCTTAGCCTCGGTGGTACGAGGCAGAGGGCAGCCATTGGACTCGTGTCCTTCGTTGTTTACGTCAGTGGGTGATTCGTATATTATGGCTTGGCGCACCACAGCTTACCGGGTTGCTTGCCTAGTAGATAGTCAGTGGGAGTGGCGCAAGAATAGTTGGCACGTGGGAGTCATACAGTTGTAGCAAAGGCGCTCAGCAGAGGAGCAGACCTCGGCGTAGTGGCCAACATTGCCACACTTGTAGCAGGCGCGGCGAGAGAGGGAAGACATGATGTGAAAAATGATGATCTGCCTCAGACGTTGTCAGCAAGGTTTCATCCAGGCTTTACTGATACAGACGACCGGCCACTGGTCTAAAGGGCGACAATAAAACCTGTAAGTTGTCGATCTACAATTCCGGCAGAACAGTTCGGCTGATCCTTATGGTGTTCAACAGTTGAGCCGATCAATTGCGCAGGTGCGCTTAACAAGTCTCAGTCGCAGTATATGGTTGAGGCCTGGCGCACCAAGCAATGGTAGGGCAGCGAACAAGGCAAATCGCGGGCGTGTGTCTTGTCTTGCGGCGCAAAAGAGCAACTTGGTTTGGAGGCAGGGCGCTGCTCTCCAATGCGATGCGACGCACTCGCAAGCGAAATTAGGCGACCGTAATTTTCTAGTTTCGTAGGCGGACTCGAGAAGGGGGCAACAATATCAAGGAGCTCCGAAGGATCTCAGCGGTGGAGTGCCTGTGCCGCCCATCTCTGGCGTTGGGAGGCAAGCGCAAGTATGCTGCAGTTGCAACTGGCCGTGGTGGTAGTTTGCGGTGGTGGTGGTACGTGATGCGTGATAGGGTACACAGCCTCGGCCGGGGGAGCGGAGGGGGCGGAGGAGAGCGGAGGGGAGACGGGACATGCGGATAAGGGAGGGGGTGTACACGGCCTCCGTCGTGCGAAAGCAATTGACGAGCAAGAAGATGAAGGGAAGACAGCTTACCTTGGTTTGCGAGTAAAGTGGCGGATTGCTGGAAAATCGTACAAGGAATGGGGGACGGCGGGGGGGTATCGTTTTCTTCGATGAGCGGAAAGTAGTGTTCTCCTGAGTCCAGCAACAACCGTCGACGACGACAACCTTCCAATCTTCTCACCACCAGCAGCCCGAGAGGGGTTCTCGAGTGGAAAATTTTTCAAGAAAGTGACGATGTTTGGTGGAAGCGGAAACGGAAAGGGGAGCGAGAAGGGCGTGGGCGAGTGAGGAGACGCAGACCACAGGCCGGGTGCCCCAAGGTCCAAAAGAGGAGAGGCACAGATCCATCGTGGTGGACACCTCGTTCCTGGTGCTCTCCTGTGACTGGCGTATGAGGGCCAGGCACCGTGCGCCTGCCCCGGGACCGGGGGGAGGGGTCGCTTCGACTCGACATGGTTGTGGGGTGGGTAACCACTCCACCATCACGTTTGCGACACGTGATATAGCTTCAACAGGCATGTTGTATCTGACTGTCCAAGCACTCAGTGGCTCCTACGGAGTTCACGGTACTGTTCCACGTACCTGACCTTTTACCGAGCTCAAGCTGACATCGAACCAGCCTTTGTATGACAACAACATCGAATCATACATGCATTGCAGCTAAGGTACCTTAAGGTGTATGCAACAACCCGATTCCAATCGTACACTCACCATGGAGCTTGCCCTCCATGCAGCCGCCCCACTTCCGAGGGGTGGACGGGCAGAGGCGTGGGCATTTCCATCATTGCGGCAGGTGCTATGGAGCGAGGCCTAGCCTCCACAACATAGTCAACTCCATCCTCCGAAGCATATGAGGGCGGTCGAGAAGGGCCTGGATTCCCCATCTCTGTCGTTCTTGAGTCGCCTCGAGCAGGTAGTGGCTCATTCGGTACCGCGTTCGGGTTACGCTGCCAGTAAATGCGATCAGGGTCGACTCGCTTAATTATATCTTCTCGTCAGTGATCCACTTCATCATGTGCCAGAGCGGACGACAAGGGAGGTGCCGATTCTTACCACACTCTGCCGCCAGGCACCGTACGGAGGCGGCTTTGGTTTCTTGGCGGCTTGCTGTCCAACTTCGGATCCCTCTTCTTCATCCCGTGCCAGGACTACTCGAATCGGCTCTTCCGGCACCGCGAAGATCCCGAGATGTTGCGCTTCGTGAGCCACTGGCTGCTCTGGCTGCGGCCGATACACTAGCAGGCAGAGGCGGACCACTCTGTGACTGAAAAAGACGGCGGCAAAGAGGATCATTAATATGAGAAGTACCGTGAACTCGCTCTGCTGGATCTTTCTAGACACAGTCAAGGCCAGATCTATTTGAATCTTGCGTTAGATCGCGTTACTCGGCGCTACCACACACGGGAGACTAGTGTTAACTAGCAAGACAACTTACAAACAGTCAGAGTCATGAGAACCAGACACCCTGAGACGAAGCACTGCACAGCCAGGGACCGAGCACGTTGTGAGGCGGTCCACGGCAAACAGAACAAAAAGCGTTTCGGTCGAGTGCCAGCATGGCCGGGCTGCCTAAGCCCCAGCCACGTCCCTCGTCCCGGTTGTCTGGAGTGTCGATGTTGTTGGTTCCCTCCTTCTAGAGCTCTCGATTCATGTGCGTAGCTGCCCGACCCACGCGCGTCGGGCCATCTATTTCCAGCCAAATGAACCGGCGACATCGGCGCACTTGATCGCATCGGATGAGAGTGCCTGATTTCGCCTGCTCGAGACGCAGCAGTCGGTATCACATATTGCTGAATGAATCGAGGAGAGATGCCCTGACCATTTCCCTCACTTCTGTCGATTCGAAGTGGTGGTAGGCTGAAGCCGAGATTGAATCGTGGAGTCTTGGGGCTGTCACCGGCTTCGCCAGTATCGTTACTGAGGCTCGTGATGGGTGCATTGTCATCGGCTGATCGTCTTGTGAAAGGTTGTGGGCGCCGTACTGAAAGCGGACCTAGGCGCCATGAGGAGGCCTGTTCCATTTCGTTCGCGACTGCAGATCCACCAGCCTCGTGCAACCCAACAGTCCGCTGTTCGGTCTCCCCATAACCCGCAGCGCGCCCCGGATCCAGGCGATCCATCGGCTGGTGTCGTCAGACAAGAGAGAGGGCGATCTATGCAGTTACTTTGTTCATGGCCTGCAACATGGGTCGTTGCTGAGTGTGAGGTGATGATTCCTATTGCAGGGCAAAACAGCGCACTGAGACGCTAGATAGTAACTGTTGCTAGTCGGGAGGATCGTTGTCGCTAAGAGATGTCGGTCAGTCAGTGCCTGCCTTCTGCAAGTGTATATTCGTGAGCCACGACATTGATCGCTGGTACCTACTTCAACGAAAGTTTCTCTTGACGAACAGAAGTACTCGGACAATAGCCAGTCTTGCGGATCTGTGACACCACCCGAAAAGAGAAGTTTGCCTAAGTTGGGCCTCGGGGAGGTGGGAAGAGGCATGCTTGATCAATATTAGGCGAGGGGCGCGGATCGAGACAGCTAGGGGCAAATATGTTGTTGGTATGGGGGGAATGGATCGGATGGTGTCAGGTCAAAGAACATGTCGGCCTTGCACCAAGGATTGTGCTATGGGTACGGGATTCTTGGAAGGGACGGGTGAAGGGAGGGGATGCCAACTAGGACGAGGGGTGTGGAAATGTAACGCGATCGCTGCGTCGCAGGGTTATGTTCCGTCCATTCAGACGAGACGCGTCAGGGGCCAAAGACCCCAAAGGCTCCCAGACAGTACGCTTTATCGACCGAAGTGACACTCATTGCCACTGACCATGTCATACTTTGCCTGTCCTCCGACACGTATGATGCTGTCCGACTGCCGCCTGGACACGCAGGGGCACGGGGTTTGGTGATGGGGCAGATCAGGTGTCGGATTTCGTGTGAACCCCCTCCTTGTTCGAGACCCCACGCGGCTTTGGCGATCGGCTGATTGGCCCTGAATCAATAGCTGAAGCACAAAACAGCACTAAGATGCCTACCTAGATTGGAACGTCACCCAATCGTTGTCTCCTTGGTAGTTCAAAATGGAACTCTCTTCTGTACCTTGCATTCCTTCCTCTTCATCATTTTGCCTCAAGTAATCTGCCCTTTTGGGATGCTTTCTCAAGACATTGAAACAATCATCGTCAACTGTTCTGAATGTCGGTAGCAGCTTGTGAAGCCCAATGTAAAGAAATGCGGCGCGACTTGTTCATTGACAGGCTGCTTCCATCCAAATACACCACACACCATTAACAGGAGCGACTTTAATGAGTTACTTGTGAGACCTGCGCATAACCTACATATAGATAATGAAGGCTGTGGTGAGCTACTGGCACGATGAAGGATCAACCAATAAGGACGGCCCTGTTATTGTCTTTGAACTGTCTGATATAGTAACGCCAGCATCATCTCTCAAGTGCGTAGTTGCAGTCAAGCGCCTGCCTGTGCGCGCAGCCCGGAAACCGTCACACAACATCTCATAGACATCCGAGGAACATAACGTTTCAGCGTGTCCAAATGTGTATCGACTAGAATATGGTGAGTGGCTAGTCTCCCTCACATAATCAATTTTTTGAACGGCTCATGCCTTCATTTTCGTCCCTGGCCAGGCCCCTTTCATCGCTTAAGAAGGCCCAGAGGGTCGCAAGCGCACATGCCCTCTTTCGCCTGGATCTGAAGCCGAGAGGGTAGCCAGGGCATGGTTTGATCTCTTCAAGACAGCGAGACGGTAGCCATACTGCGATGAGCCTCTCTGCATTCCTGCTGTAATTCCGAATAAACCACCGATCTAGTACATCGAAGGCTCTGTGTGGTTTGCCATGTCTCAGTGTGTAGAGTGTAAGTGATTCATCGTAGCTCGCCCAGAAGCACATTGCGATCAGAAGACGCCGAGAGAACTATTTGTCTTGTTAGATTGGACAAGAAACAACCACCGACCCAACACTTACGAATTGGTTCAGATCCTGGTGCAAATTCGGCACAGTTAACAGTGCCTTTGTGTCCAGGAAGCTTGTACGCCAATTTCCCGGACTCATTGGACCAGATGGTGACAGTGCCGTCCCCGGAGCCCACGGCCACGTGTTTGCCAGCTGAGTCCCAACTTGCGCGAACCAGGTTCTTCTCTAAGCCCATAGAGGCGCCATCGAACGTCCGAATGTGGCGTTCTGTTGGTGCAAAGGGGCGGATGTCCCATGTTCTTGCAGTGGAGTCCATGGCATAGGACAGGAGCGACTGTGAATCAGGGGATACCCTCAATGAAGTGATGGTGTCTTGATGGCCGAGCATGGAATACACAACGGCTTTCTTTCGTAAGTCCCACACCTTGATGTCGTTATCGATACCGCCAGAGTAGACTTCATTGCCAGCTTCCGATATGGCGACTGCCGTCACAGGAAAATCCGTTTGTATGTAGTCCGCCGCATGTTTGGTTCGAGGATCCCAGAGCCCGATTGACCCGTCATCGCTGCCACTGATGAGCACCTCGTCGCCTCGCCTGCTGATGTCCATAGCATTAATGACCTCCTCATGACCGACATAGCGCCGTATCCGTGTGCCATTGTCGAGATCCCAGCTGGCCAAATGCATGTCGGCCGAGGCCGAAAAAAGAATTCGCGAGTCTCTCGACCACTGGAGGTCTAAAACGGCACCGCTGTGCCCTTTGAGGATACCGTAATTCTCGCAATCGCCATATGTTCTCCACAGCACTATGTCCACCAAGTCAGCGATATTGTTATGAATGCAACTGCGACGAATGTCAGTGAAAGCTTACATATACTTCTGTCCATGGATCCTGAAGCGATGAAGTTCCCAGTAGGATCAAACTTGGCTGCGAAGACCTCACCAGAATGGCCAGACAGCTCCATCACCGGCGCTTGCAGCCCACTGGTTCGAGGAGCCTACAGAGAAGATGTGTAAGCATAATAACAACAATCATCATTACGTATACACGAAAACCATAGCGACTCACAGTCTTAACAAGAGCACTGCCGTTTGCAGAGGCATTGAGCCTTGCGAGGGCTCCTGAAGATGTTCCAACATTTTGTCTCTTGACCAGCGCCTGCCTGGGGCCTGGCTCGTCGGAGGCGGGTCGCTTTTCGGCCGACATGTGAAGCTGGTCAGTCGAATCGGGTGATTTCGTAGTGTTATTTCGAGCGAGTGATTAACGTGTGCTGTAGGTGGGCTCGTGGACAGTCGGACGCTTGGGATGTGCCGCCAGTCAACTGTTGATACAGCGCGTGTTGGAAGGTACGAAATGCAGAACTTAGGGTACCTGGTCCTAAACCGAAACTCGCAAAGGATGGATGTACTACCATATTGGCGCGACGAGACGTGTTCGTGGTGGGTCGACTTTTCGTTAAATGAGATAGCCCAGTTAGATACATATGATGCGTCCGTCGGGGCTGCAGCGTGGGCCCAGTTGACAGTCAGGAACCGTCGGGCCTGCCACCCACGAGCGACTGCAATGTATCACAACAACCTCGAGTCGTAACAGGCAATGTAGCTATTGTTTCGCGCACGAAATTGCCATTTTCCACCAGTTCACACCCAACCGCGTCCGGCAACAATCACCTGACGCGAGCTCCTCGCACAGCCGGCGGAGACTTCACGTAATACCTCCCGAGGTAGTCAACGCATTCTGAGCTGCAGCGTCGAGGCCAAGCCCCCCTACTGTACCCTTGATTGGCGATGTCCGCAAACAAGGCTACTCGGCTCGGTGAGGAGTAAGTGGCCTGTCCCAGGGATCTGCGTGCCCATGATCTCGGTATTAACACACGTAGGATATGGAAGTAAGCACCAAGTTCCTTCTCGCTAAAACGATCCTCTACCAATGCGTTTCCAGTCCTAACCTCGGGTCGGCCCCCCAGGACTCGAGTCGACAAAGTCAACGCCGAGCTTGTTACACTCACTTACGGTACCATAGTTGCCCAGCTGTGCAAGGACTTCGACAGTGACTATGTCGAGGTCAATAAGCAGCTAGATAAAATGGGCTATAACATTGGGTTGCGCCTGATCGAGGACTACCTAGCAAAATCAAACACTATGAAGAGGTGTTCCAATTTTCGAGAGACTGCGGATGCGATTGCGAGAGTGCGTTCATGAAGGCCAATCCCAGCCCATCCCCCTCTTTTACTGACGAGACATCAACACTAGGTTGGATTCAAAATCTTCCTCAACATTACACCGCAAGTTACCAATTGGACGACAGATAACAAACAGTTCTCCCTCGTGTTTGATGAGAACCCTCTAGCCGACTTTGTCGAGCTGCCAGATGACACTCGGGCACAGGATGAGCTTTGGTATTCCAACCTATTTTGCGGAGTACTTCGAGGGGCACTTGAAATGGTGCAGATACAAGTCGAGGCCCACTTCATCAGCGATGTACTTCGGGGTAACGATACAACGGAAATGAGGGTTTCGTTGATACGATATATTGACGATGAACTGCCCCCGGAGGACGATTGAGTAGCCCCCAGTTCCGAGATATGCTGCGCCTCAATTACTGTTCGGCATGAGCAATTCATAATGGCGTAGCGAATTGCAAAGCAGTCGGTTTTTCCAAGTTTCCAGGCTGACCTCGCACACTCGGATCACCTCACACGATCGGCACAATGAGTGGAGATTGAAGCATCAATCCGGCTAATGAACCATACATGCAGGCAGCGGAGGACTTGAAAGCAGGCCTGGCAAGTCAAGGCCTGGTTCTTGGTACCATACATCACTCTGTTGCTAAGAAGCGGTCGCTCAAGCGCAGGCTTAGGAGTGCGCGTCTGAGCTCGAAACGTAAGAATGGCATTGGCGATTCGGACAGGCGAAGCACCCGGACAAGGCTGTACTGGATTCAATTTTGAGATTGGTGGGTTAAGTTTGGCTCTGCCACACGAGTCGGTTGGTAATGCCAACCTGAATTGTTGCTTGATATCTCCTATCATGGCCGGAATGGGGATGAGTGCTCCAAGCATAGAACAAGACGACCTGATATCGCCATCATGCAATACTTACCGCTGAATGATCGCGTGGGCGGCCCTATGCCGGGGCAGAGCTCCAGGTGCTGGACAAGTCCGGGCCGGCGCCGGGTTGCCCTTCTGCAAGAGAGGCGCCTACCTACCTGTAAGGAGTTTCTCGTCCCACTAGCCACGCTTGGCATCCGGAGGACAGCTCAGGTGGGGCATTGTGTGAACTTCTTGATGATATAGAATACGTCTCAACTATCACACTTAGCGACTATTAAAAGAGATTAAGGTACGGAAGGCCCTTCGACAGATATGACAGCGACGCAAGCATTTTTCGGTTCACGCTGCACGGTGCAACTTTCCCCCAGTGCGTCCGTAACTCTACTCATTCTTAACATGAGGTAGGTACCTTACCTATCTATACAAGCTGGCCAACAGGACGGCATGATTTCAAATGTATGCCTCAGGCTCACACGTGCCCATAAATGCGCAGACGTGCTCAGCGCTACCCGCAACTGGAAGTCTCGTCGCTGTTCTCGGGCCTGCCACCCAGGTCTACGGGTGTCCCCCAAGAGCTCCCCATGCCCAGATTCACCTAAGTGCCCCTGTCCTGCCTTGTCTAGCTTTCGACTTGGCTGCTAACGAAAATTGGGAAAATCCCAACCCCATCCTTTCCCTCTTCACTAGCGACTCCCTTCTCCTTCATCGACTCGTCCTGCTGGCGCCCCCCCTCCACCCATACAGAGCGCACCCCCTCTCTTTCTCCAGCTACGACCTTACCTGTGTCGCCTACCCATGGTCGCCTTTTGATGCATCCAATTCTTTCGCTTGGCCACTCGATTCTGTCGCATCGCCTCGCCAGTTTCGTGTTGCGAATGAGCCACTGCGCTGCATCCGCGAGACCAACTAAGCGAGCCCCGTAAAACACCCTACTACCGCGAGCGGCACGCCAAACCAGCGTGTCACCACTGCCATATCACGTCCACGCCTCCTGCCGCGCCCGCCTCGCAACTATTCCAGCGCCTTCCACACTTGCGCACCTCAACCCCGTCCATCCAACTCAATCTCTATTCACTTTCCGCACGTCCAGCAGTGCCTTCGCCGCTGCTTCTGATTGTCCCTCTACCTCAGGCTTGCTCTTCGTCCGGTGGCCTCTGTCGCCCCCCGACACGTCCCGCGCCAGGAGAGGCTGCTAGCGCTCCGCGTCTCCCACGGAGAGAACGCTACAAACTCAACTCAACATCAAGCCATCGAACCATTGACTTGGACCAAACTTGCAACCTTTTTGGTCACCGCTCACGGCGAGATTTGCTAATCGAGCACCCCAAGGTCGCTGTCCCTTTCCAACTAAACCGACGAACTTTATCACGCACGACGCCTACATCGCCAACCATCCGTTCCACTCCCACCTTGTCTCGCAGACAATTGTCTGTGACGCGATTCCATCACCATGAACGTAAACCCGAACGTTCCCAACATGAACGCCATGGGTGGCCCTGTCGGTGCACCCATGCCGATGATGAACAATGGTGTCGCCCCTCCCCAGGCCGTTCCTGGCCCTGGCCCCGGGCCTGCTCCGCGACCAGTACTAGCTCCCACTGAGAGCCAGCGAACACTTCTCAACACTTACATCTATGAGTACTTCATCAGGAACAATATGTACGATTGTGCTCGTGCGCTTCTCGGCAGCGATGCGCAGGTCAATGTGCATAAGGACAGTCCCAATCGTCGTAGGGATGAGAACGGCAATGTCCTCGGCAACGGTCTTGGTGACGACCCCATGGATACCGACTCCAAGGATGACATGGACAAGCTGCCGGACAACCTGCCCGCGCCCAAGTTGCCGATGCCTGCATCCGAGACGTCATTTCTCTATGAATGGTTCTGTCTCTTCTGGGATATTTTCCACGCGCAACGCGCCAAAGGCGGTAACGGGCCAGTCAACCAATATGTCAGCCATACACAAGTGAGTCATGTGTTTTTGTCTTGTCTTCTTTGCGAATCCGAAATCTCCGTCCGGATGCTGACACGCCTCACAGCAACAGTCACGCTTGCGCCAGAATCAGCAACAAGAACTACTTCGTCAAATGCGCCCCGACGGTCTCGCCCAGCAGCAATACCAGGCCCAGATGATGCGGAGTATGCAAAATGGGGGTATGGCCATGGGCATGAAACAGGGTAACCTTGCGCGAACAGCCATGGCCAACAATCAAAACAAGTGAGTCGTGGAAAATTCCTTCATGCATGCACAGCTAGCTGACAGCACCCTTTATCAAGTCCTCAAGCTATGCAGATGCTTCACCAGGCAAAGCAGAATCAGATGCAGAGGGACCCCTCGGATATGGATGGTAACCGCCCACGACCTGCGTCTCCCGGTTCCTCGGAAAACGCTCCCTCACCCTCCAAACGACCTCGCCTGGACGGCGCCCCTTTCAACCCTAACCAGCCTGGGATGATGCCCAACGGAAGACCACAACAGGGCATGCCGGGCCAGCAGCAGGTGGGGAACGCCCAGCACGCAGCACAAGCCACGCAAATGCTTCTAAGCAACGGCATTAACCCAGCTCAGCTGACCCCTCAGCAGTTCAACACCTTCTCAAACCAACCCCCAGCTGTACAGGCAAAATCCATTGCCACCTATGCTCAAAATCTGCAACAGCATCAAGCAAGCCAGATGCCCAACAAGCAGATGCCTAATGCACCAGGAGGTCCTCAGGCGCAGGGATCGCCCATGATGCCGCAGAATCCTGAGCAAGCCGCTGCTCTGACAGCATACTACAATGCGGGGGAAATGGGACCAGGTGGCATGCGACCTGGTCCCGGTGGTCCCCAAGCTGGCGGTGGAAGTAACCACGCTCTGCAAGACTATCAAATGCAGCTAATGCTTCTCGAGCAACAGAATAAGAAGAGACTCATGATGGCTCGGCAAGAACAAGACAATATGGGCGGCATGCCTCGTGGCGATGGTGCTACAGGTCCTGGCGGCCCTGGCGCTCCGACTGGTCCGAACGGTCAGCCCTTCCCAGAGACTTCACCCCAAGGTGGCAGAACCGGCGCCTCTCCGATCCCTTCCGACCAGATGAAGCGAGGTACGCCACAGATGAACAACGCTGGAATTCCTTCCCCATTGCCCGAGGGCGCCCAATCTCGCGGCTCTCCTAGCACGATGAACTTTATGCCCAATTCCATGGATCCTTCTATGGCACCAAACTTTTTCAGCAAAGACATGGCGAACATTGGCGGCAACATGGTTCCCGGAGCACATATGAATGGCATGCGCCCACACAATGGCCATCCAGGCCAGCCCTTTAACGGGCCACAGATGAACCCACAGCAGATGATGGCTGCTAGACAGCAGCAGCAAGGTGCACCAGGTGGAAATCCTGCGGGGCAGTGGCAAGCAGCGCCCAATGGCCAGATGGTTCCTCCAGGCCCAATCCAGGGCACCCCGCAACAACGGGCCATGCCACCCCCTTCGGCTCCAGGACCGAATACGAACAGGACGAACACCTCTTCGCCACAACAGCCTGCGGCAGCGCCACCAACGCCGTCACAAACAAACAAGGCTGCCCCGAAGAAGAAGGACACAAAGAATGCGAAGAGCAAGGTGAGCATCGCCGTGAACTACGCACAAACGCCACTAGAAGAAAAGAACTAATCGATGTGCGAACACAGGCTGCCACAAACAAGAAGTCGAACTCGAACCTTAACGCAGGCACCACGCCTGCTGCCGACGGTGCTGCAGAAGCAGAGCCACCGACGCCAGCTACTCCTATGACACCCGTCAATGCTGCTGGCTTCAACAAGGCAGGTCCCAGCACGACGGCCGCTGGAGCATCAAACGGGCAAGCACCTCCCGCCGCTCCTGTGGCACCGCCTGCAGCTTCAGCTCCTCCCCAGCCTCAGCCAGATGCATCTCAAAATGGATCCTTCGGCGGCATGGATAATTCAGCAGACATGATGAATTTTGGCACCATGGACTTTGCCAACCCTCTCGTGTCGAATGATGTTCTGAACGACTTCGACTTTGATTCTTTCCTCCATGAAGACGGAGATAATCAAGGGTTTGATTTTAACGCCGGCTCGTTCGGTATGGAAGGCGGAGAAATTGGAGCCGAATAAGTGACGGATGACGCTATCGTTGATTTGGAACCCATCCTGCCTCGACAGCGTTCATGTTGCGAGAACTGAGTTTGGATGACACGACTACGCAGCAGGCGCGGCAAATAGCATCTCCAAACCAGGAGACGCGGCCTACCTAGGCGATCTCGTGGCTTTCTGACATCATGTTGTGATGCATTACAGTTATGTTTCCTTTCTTGCGGTGCTCCGGGATACCACAAGGCTACATGTTCAGGGCGATGGCGCTGAGGCTTCAATTGGTCTGTGGCTGGTGTTGTGTGGCTTGTTATGCTTCTCTTTCATTGTTCTTTTTCGGGGTGAGCGACCAGCACATTACAATAAACGCGCATACAGGATGACGAGAAGGGGGCACGTTCAAGCACGAATGTGTCCGTAGGAACGCGGCTTGCTGTCAAAGTTTACTGATGGGGCAAAGTATTAATTGGGCAGTCGGGGACAGTTTCAAAAATCGGTCGGTTGTTGGGCACGTGGATATCTTCTGGGGAACTGCCTACCTGTGTACTGTTAGAGCGTCGAAGGTCTGGAGTTCCTGACGTTGCCACAGGACGGCACGAAAGGACGGACTGTACGACATGATTTCGGAGTCCCGAGGGTAACGATTCTTGGAGTTTAATATGAATTCAGATGTTGCTGTACGAGCTAGTCATGCTCTCGTCCAATGTGACACTATCTGGCCGAGCAAGGTGTGTGTGATCCGTAAAGTCTCTTGTTCCTCCTCAACCATACACCTGTTGCGATGAAGCAGGCGGGTCGGCGCCATTCGTCCCTTGGGTCGGTATGTGACGCGGTCTGGTTTTCATACTTTTCTAGTCTTTCCCTGACTTAGGACCTCAACACTTTGATCGTTGAGACTTCGCGCCCGCAAGGGCAGCCGATCCCGTTTATTATTTGCCTCGACACTCAAATGTTGCTGGGTATGTGTTTGGTGCGGGCATAGGAAGGTCGGCTGCTGTACTGCACGAAGATTGGCCACGGCAATGCTAGGGGGCCCTGCGCTGTCCGAGCCAACGCGATGTTGTCGAGCCAAGGCAAATTTTGGAGTTACTTGAATTGGTCTTTGTCTAGCGGCGGGTGAGAATTCGTCGTCGTAGGCTCTGTGTCTAGGTGGCAGGGCTTTCGCAGCGGACGATGGGGCTAGGGTGGCTGCCACAACCTGCTGAGGCATGCATAAAGTATTTTGTAAAGCGCCAAGCACGAGAAGCTGATTTTGTGTCTTGTCAGTCGTATGGGCCACCAGGCTTCCATCTGTAATATTACGCCAAGCAATCATGATCCATTGATCCTCAAAATTGGATTCAAGCTCGACATGCTCCTCCAATGTGAATGTGTGTTGTTGCTGGAGACCTCCCGGCAATCTGCGCTTGGCATGGCTGTCCTGTATGGCTTTTGGGACCGAAGCACAGGTTGCCCATACCTCGCCTTCCACGTCCAGCGTTGGGGATGGATCTATGAAATAGGCCGGGACAATGTCGTCGCCAGCATCGCCTGCTTCATTCTCCGAGCTTAGAAATGACATGTGTATGCCAGCACCGCCTGTATCCGCCGCTCTGCAGTTCTTCCTAGGCATGGCCTCGGTTCCTTGATGTTAAGAGAACTCACGGAGCTTTAGCGTCGTGTGTGGGAGACACAGGCTTGGTACGGAGACAGGGGACGTGACATGAAATGAAGCGCGAAGATCGGCCCGGAAACCAAGTGTCATATGACGAGAATGTGCTCTCTTGAAGAGGATGAAGGGGAAAAGAGAAGACAAAAAGTGGGAGCTGGCAGGGTCATATCTTGCTCCTGCTGTAACTGCCTGCCACGCCGCGAAGGAGGTAACTTCCTTCCCCGTGACCCACGAAACGCAGTTGTTTGAGCCGGTTAGACAGCCGGAATCAAGGTACCCATATGCGAGTAGTTATGTGCTCAAGGCATACACCAAAGGATCAACGAATACGCACGGGACCGAGCAGCGCCGGAGAAATTGCTCGACGATCATGTCGAGGTCCTTCACCACGATTCGCAGCTGCCAGAACTGGTTGCATGATATCACACCGTAACTTCGGCAGCACAAGCTGGAGCCCGAGTTAGGAATTCAGTCATGAAACCAGACTATAGAAGCTCAGCTATCCGGCCTGGAGTGGTCTTCCGCGCCAATGCCAATTTGAATCTTGCCGCCAAGGGTATCACCTAGCCGATTGCCAAGCTGCACGATGGTATTTTCGTACACGCGAACGACATCCATGCTCAACCGGGCTTCATCGTCTTCGACCCAGGCGGTAGAACCCTGCTCTGTATCAAGATTCGCCATGGGAAGAGTATCGCGATCGTTGTCAGTGTCACTTTCCCCGCCATCATCAGGATCGCCATCGTCAGTCTCCTCCGTATCAGAACTGAGAACCTCCATTACAAGGATACGAGATTGTTCCACGAGACTCCGGCATCGCACCATGTCGGTAGTCGTCATGCCAGCCCGAAGGCCGTTCTCAAAACCTGGCAGAGGTTCTTTCGTATCGATGTCCTGCCCGCACAAGAGACTTGCAAAACATTTGTCAAGTTTTCGCACAATGGCAAAAGTAGCCCTTGGCGAGGGAGGAAACGACACAATGTACTTAGTGAATTCGCTTGCCACGTTGAGTAGAAAGGGTATTTGCAAACTTGCTGCATGGCATGTCAGTGCTTGAGAGGCCAAGTCACCGACGTATGTCGATGTTAAAGGGATGCGCTGCCTTACGTGTTCCGGATAACCAGAGAACATCGATGATGCTTTGTAGGTCCTTGCACAGCTCGCTGAACCCTGCGTAGCCCACGAATCCGTCGCCGGGGTCTGGGGCACTGAATTTCTTTACATAGCGTCGAGCGATGACTGTCATGCGTTCCTCGACATACCTCCTCACCGTTGCTTCTTTGGTAGAGCCTGATGGCAGCGGGCGAGCTCGTGGGTGTGGCAGTAAGGATGTTGATCGACTGGAAGCTGTACTGGGAGCGGGCGAGGGCAAAGATGCGGGAGGAAAGAATCCTCCAGCGGCTCCTGCCTGGTGTTGGTCTGACATCGCCGTATGGAGAGTAGGACAGGCCTCTATGGTTTGTTCGTGATCGTCCTTTCAAAAGCGGATCGATCAGCTGGTTTGAAAGAGATTCAGCCAACAGAGCACCCGCGGGTTTGGGCCGCCCAAACGCGAGAGCCAATTGGAGGAGGCAAATACGAACGGAACTGCGGTAGGAATGATGCAAGAGAAGGCCTGGAGCGAAGATATCAACCCAGTGATACTTCACTTTCAGAGCCAACCGCGGGAACCCGGAACGATGACCAAAAATATTCCACTCAGTACGACTCACCCCAACACGAGGCGCGCAACATGCGCACATGCGTATAGCTTTACTTGCTCGCAATGCACCACAGAAGCCAAATGTGGCAATGATGTCTCGAAGAGGCCGGAATCGAGCGGGAGAGTGGGTCATCTGCGAACATATGCTTACATAACTACTGCATAGGTACATCACCCAATCTAAAAGCAGACATGACAAGAGAGTCGTCTTGAAGCTGACCCCAAGTCCTCCAACCAGAAATTTTGACCCGTCTGCCGACCAGCCACGTGAAAGTGCACCAGCTCCATCACAAGACACTTTCTCCCATTCGCAATCCATCCTTCACTACGCACCGATATACCCGCATACATATCCAAAATGCCTCCTAAAAGGTTCATTTCCGAGAAGCCCGGCTCGCGCTCGCGACAGCCAAGGGGATATTTTGCGTCAACCTATGATGCGCTTACTTCGTCTGAAAACGCTTCCATCGTTCGCAGCGTTGTCGTCTTTGGAGTATGTCAGACCTTTGACTTCATTTGATCCTTCATCCTTCACGCATACTAATCATTTGTGCATCAGGCTGCTGTATCTTTCCTCTCGAGCTCTTGGGGCGAATTCCTCCTGCCACCGTCAGTCTAGCATGACTATCTCCTCATGTTTCTTGCCAACTATCTAACGCTTGACCCCTTTCCAGCCAATAATCTTGCTTCTCACAAGCTCAATCGACGATTATGTACAACTCGACGTCACTCTACTTCTGCGCCCTTTGGCTGCTGTACAATACATGGGGAAGGGGGAAATGATTTCTTCGGAACATGGTGTTACTCTGTGCTCGCGTGGCTTGGTCGCCCGTGAGAGGATGGTTTGCGAACTCGTCTGACAGTCACAACGATATTTCATATCATAGAAAACATAACAACTCCATAATACCAGGCAAGAATATGGTGCTCACACGTGATGGACAGGGGTCGATTTAGACCACCTTTGATCTGGTCCTCGCCCCGTATGCCTCGCAGTGTCGTCAACTACGCTGGCTCACACCAAGTCCGCATTCTTACAAGCAGCACCCGCACTGCACTTTTCATAAAGAGAAATACCCCCAAAGCCGCCGCAAACCTCATTGTTATCCCCGGTGCAGGGCAGTTCGCAAACACCAAGAATGCCTTTTTTCGGCTCGCGGTCGTGGTCAACCAAGTTCCCGCAGAAGCACTCCCGTCGATACTCAACCCCTGCGTACTTGAAGCCTCTTTCGTCGCAGTATTCGACACAGCGTGCGACGGTCATATTATCACTCGATACGTCAGTGCCGTTCAAAGTTCTGCTTTTCCCTGACGCGTCAGGGGCGCATCCCCGATACCTGAAGCGATGGGAAATCGTCATGTCGGTATACGGCCACTGCGGAGGCGAGATAGTGGTAGTGGCACCACAGTTACTCTGCTGCGTGGCCCGGCCCGGCCCACGCTGCACTGGGTTGCAACCGGGCAGCCTGTTTAGGATTCCATCAACCTGTTCCTCAACGCGGACAGGAACTCTGCAGCCCTTCATCGTTTCATCTTCGAATTGATGCAGCAAGGGGCATCTGTCCAGGGACCCAGATGCATCAGTACAGTTGACGATGGCACTCTGAAGAACATCCGTATCCCAGCCGTTCACGAAGTCACCGTGGAGTCCGTAACCCGTCGGGTCGCTATTCCAAAAAACAAGAAGAAAAAGTCAATAAATTGTCCAGGTAGAAAAACCAAAATGGTGTACGCGGAGTCAAGACTGGACACACATACCCGTTAGAGTAGACGAAGGGCGGAGTATCCTTGTACCATCTGTCCTTGAAATCATCGATCTGAAAAGTGACCTCGTAGAAGAGTGTGATAAAGCGCTTGGGGTGGCTTGTTGGGCAAACCCCATTATCAACGAGGCTCGGGTAGGCCATATGACTCTTGTGGTTCGGCGAGTCTAAATTATGTCCGTCCCAGCACGAAGGGAACATGACCTGCACTCGCAAGCCGTAGGGGCAGTTTTGGGACGGGAACTGGTGTGTTTCCGGGCCGCTGACGCCGAGGCAGACATAGGAGATTGCTCGCTGCTCCAGGGTATCCCCGAAGCTTCGGAGCGAGGGGTCACCAGCGAGCATCTGAAAACCCGGGGGAAACGCAAGTAAGCCATTCTCGTACTCAGGGTCTTTGGAGTCAGAGCGCTGACTGTCACATTCTCGGTTAACCTCTGAGTGTGCACGTTTTTGAGAACGAGCTAGTGCTTACAGATAGTAAACGAGCATGCCACCAAGTTGCTTGACTGTCTCGAACTTGCCATTCTCGCTCTCGTAGTAGAGATTTGGAGTCCAGTAGTTACTCAAATCCTGCCGAACCTTGCAGGTAGAGCATGCTGAGGATACCGCGTCATCATAGCCCATGGTGAAGTTGAAGGCACTGCCGCCCATGATGGTATGAACATGACTAGCTAGGACGCCTGGGTTGACTATAGGGTCTGCGCGCTGCACCACGACTGGGCGAGAGCAAGGCACAACAAAGAAAGCCTGGGCTCCGGCTGTGACCAGCAAAAGGCCACCCACGTTTGAGAGGAAACGCATGGCTGGGATGAAAAGCCCAAAGGGTAGGGTGAAGCAGCAAAGTGGATGTATCTGTGCGGCAAGCTGCTATATGCTCAGCTCGATTGAATCACCTGTCTGTGAATTTGAAATATGCGCCAGGTTGGCTTCGCACAGCTCTTGTTATATATGATGACAATCAGATCATCAACACACGGGGTGCTTTTTTATCATCGCTATCTGTGTCTCAAGGAGGCGGACAGTCCGCAAGGAAGTATAGTCTTGAACCGCCTGGTCAATGGGTTCCAGGCCTGCGGGCGCAAGATCCAAGGCCCGTAACAAGAGGTATGCAAGCCGGCTCAGCCATGAGGGAAACATTTCACGGGTTGCACCGATGCGTGTACAGTATTCCCCTTGACCCAATAAGAACTATCATGGTCTCAAGGTCCACGGACTCTTTAGCCAGATTAAAGTGTCAACCCTCTGGGCAATGTAGGTAGCTGAACAGCCCTGGCTGAGTGTGGTTCGCATTCATGTGATGTCTTGGAAAATCGTGCCATCTGGGCCACATGTGTGCAAGCTGAACAGGCTTCCCTAGTGCTCGTGGAAGGTTCGTTGTCTCAGGCCGCAGCGGACGGGGCCGAGGCCAGGGTCAGGTGGCTGGACAACAGGGTCAAATCAATGGAATCAGGTTAATATCGGTGGCTGTGTGCTTCGATACTGATACAGTAACACGCACAAGTTCGTCCTTGACTGTGCCTAGAGGTATGATACCTAGCATGCCATCGTTCGCCAGCCCCGTTTCTGGCTATTGGCCTGGGAGGACTAGGCTAGGGATCGCGTTGACATGGTAGTGTTTTGCATTGTTGTGGGAAGATGTGGTAGTCGTCCTGGTTCGCCTACATGGTATGCGTGGTGAGTATTTGGTCATTGTCAGTGCGGCGAGGACAAGAAAGGGCACGGGCACCTCGGCAAGGGAGGTGGCCAGCCTTCCCGCTGAAGAACCACGCACGCTCCTCGCTCAACTCCCGTCGACTTACGACTCGTAGGCTCAGTTGAGATCGCGGTTTCATCAAATATTACATCTTGATCTAGCCTTATTCGAACTACCTACTCGTGTGAGTGGCGGGTTGTGCATGATGTAGCGCTCAGGTCTTTGCTTCTTTTGGGTGAACAATACGAAGGGTCGTTGCCAAACCAGCCAGGAACAATATCAAGAGAACAATCCACTTCCTACGCCAGCATGCCCATTTCCCTCCACCCGCTACACCATTCTTCGTCTCACAGAATGCCGCTCAGTATGCTGTCCAAGCACTGCCGCTGGCTGCATTCTTTATATTCGGCCGGTGCAGCTACTCCTCATCCTTTCCTATCACGTCAGGAGGAGCCCTCGCCATCATCCAGCCAATATTCTGCACCTAGCTCTCCGCCTGCATCTGTCCAGACGGGTGACACGAATCAAGATACTCTCTTGCAAGCTTCTGACCCAAAACCAGTCCTTACTTGCGTCACCCTTTTCTTGCACACTCCGGTGAAGCCCGACGGTCATACATTCGGTCATACAGACACAAGTTGAGCTTTCACAGGCTCAAGGCAACCGGCCTGTGTATCAAGTAGAACCAGCGCATATTCTCCTCCTCTCCGGTAGTCACCGATAATTGCTCGTATAACATTGTCCGAAGAGGATCGCGAACCAGAGCCTTCGTGACATCGCCACCGAGATTCGGCAACAATTCACGAAAAAACACACTGTATCATGGCCCTATCCGACCCATTCTCACAAACTTTCGTCCTCACTGCGTCTGACGGTGTCACCGAAATCCCCGTTGCGGTTGCCGATGTCAACGAGTTCATCCTATACAGCGTGAAAACGGTCATCAATTATGGCGCCCAGATCGGGAGCTCCTTCATACTGCTGCTCGTCTTGGTCTGCATGACACCCTCAGCAAGATTCCTCAAGCTATCCCAGTGGCTTCACATCGCCGCCTTGACCGTCAACATCGTTCGCATGATACTCCTAACTGTTTTCTTCACGAGCAGTTGGAACGAGTTCTACACATTCTTTGCTGGCGACTATTCTCGGGTCGCCCCTCGGGATTTGCAGTGCAGTGTCGCATCCGAAATTGCATCATTGGCTCTTTTTATCATGGTCCAAGCCGTCCTCGGCTTACAGGCTTGGGCAACTGTCAACCTCTTACCCGCTGTCTGGAAATGGTCCTCAGTTTTACTGTCGGCTTGTGTTTCTTCCACGGCCATCGGCATTCGCGTGGCAAGCGCAGTAGGCCAGATCAGGTTCATGCTGACGCTGTCCGATACACCATCCGTACTGGTCGCCCTCCTGACCAGTGTCATGGGTGGCACTTCTATATTTTATTACTGCGCTCTTTTCAACGTCAAGCTGGTGAGCCATCTTGTGAAGAACCGAACTTTTCTACCGACACGGCGGGGTCTGTCTGCGGTTGAAGTACTGGTTATCACAAATGGCATTCTGATGATCATTCCTGGTTCGTATTTTCCCTGCCACCTTGCCTTCAGCATCTGACTCAGACGTATGACAGTCATATTTGCCGGCTTTGGGTGGCGCAATTGGCAGGCTTTCGAACCTGGCTCTCTGGCCCTCACGTCCGTGATCCTATTCCTTCCCCTCGGAACACTGATTGCCCAACGCATTGCAACACCGGAATCTTACCACGAAGTCAAAGCCCGTCACCAAACGAGCACGGGACGATCAGATATGCCCTTTAAGGATATCTCCCAAATTGGTTCCGATGCCACTGAGAGCAATGCGGCTACGAGCACCGTTACATCTCGGATAGAGGCTGGCCGTTCTCGTGTTGCAATCGATCCCATAGACCTCGAACTGCGGCGCCTCGACGGATACGACGCTGAAATGGGAGTGGTGCGAGTCAATCGCGAATTCGATCGACGCGAGGACAGGGTTTAGAGGCTCAGGCAAGGTAACTGCACCGAAGCTCAAGTATTTTCATCTTGTCTTTTGCTTTCTCCTCGCTCCTTCGAGACTTTCGTGTGGAAATAAGCTGGCACCCGGGAATCACTCGTAATATGAACAGAGAGATTGGAGTCCAAAGTGTTTCTTGAATTTCTTTTCCCCCGAGAGCCAAATGTACTTCCACTAGGGCCTGACAATTACTTGGACCACAAGGGTTACTGGCTTCTGGCGAGCTTTGAAGAGCATGTACCTGATGTATTGATTCCATCTACTTTATTAGATAGCCGATTGCTGGTTACCGACTTGTGATCAGCTAGTCGTTCCTTTCAGCGGTGTTTCCGGTCTGGCGCTTTCTGCGTCACCGTTCTCGAACGACGGTTTGTACGGTACGAGGCGACGGCCCATATCATGTAGCGAATCACCCAACTAGACCCATTCCGCGCCCAATCTTCCGCACTAAAGCCTTCTTGAGGTACCATTCTCGTGCCAGTGAACGGGTTGTCTTGGCGAAAACAACGGGGGATATTCGTCCCCGTTCAACAGCGCGGCCTAGGATGAAGATAGCATCACCCATGGCACGCTCTTCCGCCACAAGGGCGTAGAGTTGATTCGAGACCACGGTCGGCGCAACCAATAGCTCATCTATATCTGGGGTCGTCTGCTGGCGTGACCCTTCGACAACAATATCTGCCTTTCTTAGCGCATCGCGCAATATGCTGGCATTGGAAGAAAGCAAGGCCGAAGTTTGATCCAAGGCGCTGATCTCAGACTGCAGAATCGAAGACGCCGACATCATGGCCTTACGTTGAGCCTGGAGGCCAGCCATACTAGATTCATTCTGTTGACGACTTTGCTGCCGCAGAGAGTAAAGCGTCTGCGCAAGTTGGCGGAGTAGTGCGTCCTTTTCGGGGTTCGGGGGGATTGGAGGTGCCGGTAGGCTGGATGGCAAGGGTATGCTGAGGGTCAGAGGCTCATCTAGCAGGTCGGGTTGAGGCGTTGCGTTCGGTTTTGCCGGAACCTGCACATTCTCTCGTGCTTGCCAGGTCACCGATGGACCTGTGACAGGTGAAGGCTGGAATGAGGCCACAGATGGCTGCACCGTCGATGATGCCTGGCCAAGCCGGTATTGTAAGGAGCTGCGAACATATGGCGGCGTTGCAGGGGTCCGAAGGGGAGAATGAGTGAGGGGGAAAGGCCGATTTTGCAATGTGGGTTGTCCCGGTAGAGGCGGCGCGGAGTCGTACCGAGATGGTGATTGATGGTGGGATTGAGAAGTATGTGGAAGTTCTGGGGTGTCCTGCAATCCAGCTGGAATGGGGGGAGGGGGGGGAAGGGGGGGCGCGTCGTGAGGACGTTCTGAGCCAAACTGACTGAGTCCACGCAGCCTGGTGTCAGTATCTTTGGGCGGTGGCGGAGGTCCAGTTCGCGTAGGAGCAACAGGTGGTTGACTAGAAGGGCGGCCTGCTAGCTCGTGTGTTGATGCCACAGAATGGTCTGTCAACCTCTGTAGTGGTTGAGTCTGTTGGCTAGGTGGTACGGGATGTGAGGGCTGCCGTGCTATCACAGGCGGCTCTTTGGCGAAGACATCGCGCAGAATGGTGAGGAAGTCAACGAGTGTCGATTTCTACCAAAGTGTCAGTGCAGTACTCCCGAAATCCTGTGTGAAGAACCATGAGACTCACATCCCAAAACGTGGACCAGCCAGCCAGATACGGATGGTATACCTGACCCTGGGGGTCGACATGCTGTCCGGGCCTTACCACCATATGCTCGGTGGGCGTCACGTATATGAGAGGTGCCTCCCGAGGATAGGCATAGGGCACGCGTATAGACAGAGGAAAGCGGTAGGTGGTGCCTCGAAAAATTACGGGCAGGGTTCCTGTGATGTGCAGCAGAAGTGCAGATGTACCATTGTCAAAGGCTTCAAATGCGGGATGTAAGTCATGGAATGGACGAGGCTTGAAAATACCGAGCACTCACTGTGAACGTCGGTCCGAGGAGATAGCGATGGATACTGTGACAAGGCTTGGGCCACATCGCCATAGGTGCGGTTCACATCGTGGTATTCCTACATGTTGCAAATCGTTAGCTCCTACGAGGTGTGCGGATAACCAGACTCGAACACTGACGCTGGTAAGAACACTGTACAGCCAATTCAGGATGTGCTGTTGAATGGGCGGCATGGCTGCACCGCAGGATTGACGGAGTGATGGCACCTAGTCGCGCATATTCAGGTTCGCGTAGTGTCGTCGCAATCGTAGCAGGAGTACGAGGTGTTGCGTCGTCGTACGGTCAGGCTGTTGGGTCGTAAATGTTGCAGTATGATGTATTGCCTCTTTTGAAACTATCAGCTGCAGTAGTGATACCCGTGGCCAGATAGCGTATCTATGCGTGCGTCAGGTGAAGAGCAATTGACGACGCGCTTCGCCATGGACAACGAGGTGCGAGAAGCTCGGCGCCCAACCCCTCTTACATCGCTCTGTACCATAGGTGATAGGTAAGAGAAGGTAGGTAGGTACTGAGAGCAAGAGCTCGGCTGGCTGAGGCAGGTCCCCGCCCAGTGAACTCCAGAGGCCCACACAGGGGTGTCATCGAGTCTTTTCAGCGCATTGGGCACTAACCATCTAACATTGCATTTTACAAGGTAGTCTACTATCCGTGCCGTTTGCTCAATGGTCAACAAAGTCGCTGTTCGATGTGTTCATTGAGTGCGATACTGGCTTGACCGGATGAAGCCTGCCGCTCCGACCAGTAGCGCGGCCGGAGTCGGAGCAATTGGCCTTTGCGCTCCTTGGACATCCAGCATTGTTGGTCAGCTAGCATTGATAAAAGGACTCGGGTAGCTTGTAGGTCACCAAAGGCAGTCAGCTTGATGAAGGGCAAAAATGAAGTGCCTCATGTTGCAGAGCTGCGAGACTTGTATGTATCTGCCTTGCATCGTGCACACTTTTTTTTTTTTTTTTTTTGGGTCAAGCAGCCATCTATAAGGTAGGTACGAATTGTCAATTCGAGAGGCGAGCCTTCTGGGTATCCGTCTGCCCGAAGTCGAACGATGCCCCAAGCCGGGCATGATGACTAGTCAAAATGCCTAGCGCATTTGTGATCGAAGGAAGGAGGCCTGCGGGATATTTGTTTATAACGCCGTGCCCCCGCCGCCTCGTCCGAATGTTGGTATACCGGGCACAGTGCACCCTGAACTCCAGCAAAAGCATCGTGCCGTCTCTCCCCATCGCATGCTCGTCATCAACAAGCCATCTCGCACGGCTGAGGAGTACGCCAGACCCCGTAACTGGATACTCCTTGCGTCAGGATTTTTTTCTACAACTTCATCTCAAATCCCAGCTCACCAGGGCTACGCTCGCCATGCTTCCTCCCATTCCGATCTTGGCTGATTATGGCATATCACCAACTCACGGGTTTCTTCCCGATGTCCTGCCTCTGACACGGCTTCCAGATCCATACTACAACAAATGGGAGGCCGTTGTCAGCAACCTCCAGGCTCTCATACTGAGCCGACGCCTCCGAAGCGTGGTGGACCGCCTGCCTGTCCTGTCCACCATTGGATTGGAGCACGAGGCAGAATGGCGCAGGGCATACTCGTTGCTATGCTTCATGGCACACAGTTATGTCTGGGGCGGCGACCAGCCCTCTGATCACCTGCCCCCATCCATTACTGTACCGCTCCTGCAGGTGTCCGAGCATCTTGAGCTTCCACCTGTCGCAACCTATGCTGCAGTTTGTCTGTGGAATTTCAAGCCTCTTTTCATGGATGAGGGAATCAATAGTCTCGAAAATCTGGCTTCTCTGAATACCTTCACAGGCTCCCTTGACGAATCTTGGTTCTACCTCGTCTCGGTCGCCATTGAGGCGCATGGTGCCCCAATAATTCCCCTGATGCTTACCGCTATAGCTGCGGCGCGAGAAGGCGACTTGGCTGCCGTCACTCGGTGCTTGCGCGGATTTGCGGAACGCTTGACAGACTTGACCAGCATTCTTCAACGGATGCATGAAAGCTGTGATCCTCTCATTTTTTACAACCGCATCCGGCCGTTCCTCGCCGGCAGCAAGAACATGGCCGAGGCTGGCCTGCCGCTCGGCCTCAACTACGACGATGGCTCCGGAAGACTCGACTACAGGTTTTATAGCGGCGGCAGCAACGCTCAGAGTAGTCTCATCCAATTTTTCGATGTCGTACTTGGAATCGATCACCGTCCTACTGGCGAGTTCGGGAAAAAAAAACCTAGCCATTCGTCTGAGTCGCCGCGCGAGGATCGGGCGCCAGGCCAGCGTCACAATTTCATTATGGACATGCGTCGCTACATGCCTGGTCCGCACGCTCGCTTCTTGAATCAGGTCGGCCTCGTAGCCAACGTGCGAGACTTTGTCGAAACCCACGCAGATAACCCGCAATTGACTCTGGCCTACGATGCCTGCCTCGCCATGCTGAGTTCTTTCCGCGACAAGCACATTGCTATTGTGACTCGCTATATCATCGTTCCTTCTCGAGAGGTTCGCGCTCGTAGCAGGTCGCGCAGCCCCGAGGCTACGAGGAAGCGCCTCGACTTGGCGTCAGCTTCTCGCCAACGGAAGGATGTTGGAGGAACTGGTCAGTCGTCAGGCCCCACAGGGACTGCGAACACAAAGCTCAAAGGCACGGGAGGAACTGCCTTGATTCCATTCCTCAAACAGGCCAGGGATGAGACTGGTGAGCCGGCCGTCGCAGAGTGGACCAAAAGATTCATGACACGAACGAACAGAACCGAAGGGAGGGGCGATTTCTTCATGGGCAAATCTGAAGTGTCCTCGATCATCGAAGAGGTACAGGTTGGAGGACTCGCAGGTACATGGACTATGGATGAAGAAGTGGGTGGCATATGCAACTACTGAGCAAGCGAATCCATCTCAAGCCGAAAGAAGCAAAACACGCCTCCGCGCTCCTTGCAGGGTCCTCTCGTATGGATCCGCGGCGCCTTGTCGCTTTCTTGCGCTGTGCCAGGCATTGCATGGCACGCTGATATCAAGGAAGATGGACGCTGGGGAGGTCCTCTTTGCAAAGAACCTCACGTCTCAACAGAAGACAGCCTCAATGTATAAATCTTAGCATGCGGATTCGTGTAAATCAAGACTTGAATTGACGTGTTAGTTCAGATGGTGACGGTCGTTGAAGCAGAAGCACCTTATCAAGTGTGTTGAGATTTCCCGGAGTGTCCAGGGCGTGTCTACAGCCTCTGTACAGCACACTCATATGCATATATACGATATATGGAATAAACATCAGGACCCACCAATTAATTGCCAGCGACTAATGAAACCCATCCCCTCCTTCATACCTCGACTTACCTAATACTCATTGAATTGGGGAACAATAAGCAGGTTCGCCATCCTTAGTAGACCCGTCGCGTAGCGGGCTAAAAAACTGGCCCGACACGTCCCTCGACTGTCCCACAGCCTGCCTGCCTGCTTTGCGTCGTCTCAGAATACCAACCATAGCAGAAACTCTGATCGCCCTCACACATACCGCCCGTGCTACCTCACGTTTTGGCCTTTCCCATCAACCGAATCGTCTGTTACATGCAATCCCTATCGAACGAAGGCAGTGTCGCCCGGAAGAGGTGATATTGGTCGCCTTTGTCAACGATTCCCGCCTCCGCCTTCGCCTTTTGTCACAAACACGAATCAGCTACCAGGCCTCGCTTACGCACTTCGTCGTTCCTTTGCGCAACGCGCACTGCTCGAAATGGCTACCGAGTACGATGAAGAATTCGACTATGATGGATACGAGGAGGACGACGCAAGCATCACTCCCGAAGATTGCTGGACTGTCATATCGTCATTCTTCGACTCGAAAGGCTTGGTGTCGCAGCAGGTCGACTCTTTCGACGAGTTCACGACATCTACAGTCCAGGAGCTCATCGACGAATACTCCCACATAACCCTCGACCAGCCGAACCCTGCATCCGACAGTGATAGAGCGATTGCACTACGCAGATATGAAGTCAAATTCGGCACGGTCATGGTCTCCAGACCATCGATCACTGAGGCAGACGGCAAAGTCTCGACGCTACTTCCCTACGAATGCCGTGACCGCAACCTGACATACGCGAGTCCCCTCTACGTCAGGATCACGAAGAAAGTGTCCATCGCTGTTGAGAACCAAATCCCGCTCAACGAGCTGGATGACGAACAGCATGACGAGATGGCCAGGACAGGCGAGCATCCGACAAGACTAGAGTGGGAAGAGGAGGAGAGTGGCGACGACCCAGGTGCCGACAAAGACAAGCCAGAAGATATGAAGGACATGATCTTCATTGGACGCATGCCTATCATGGTGAAATCCAAGATTTGCCACCTCAGCCGCGAGAGTGAGAACGACCTCTTTATGCTCAACGAGTGCCCTTACGACCAGGGCGGCTACTTCGTCATCAACGGCAGCGAGAAGGTACTCATCGCCCAAGAACGCTCCGCTGCGAACATTGTACAGGTCTTCAAGAAAGCTCAGCCAAGCCCCTTTTCGTACACTGCCGAGATTCGCAGTGCTCTCGAGAAGGGCTCGCGACTGATCTCGAGCCTGATGCTCAAGCTGCACAGCAAGAGCCCTGCCAAGGGCGGAGTCGGCCAGACCATCCACTGCACTCTGCCGTATGTCAAGGTTGACATACCCATTGGCATCGTCTTCCGCGCCTTCGGCATCGTGTCTGATGAAGACATTCTTAATCACATTTGCTACGACAGAAACGACACGCAAATGCTGGAAATGCTACGGCCTTGCATTGAAGAGGCCTTCATCGTCCAGGACCGTAACGTAGCCCTTGACTGGATCGGCAAGCGCGGTAACAGCAACCACACGATGACTAGAGAGAAGCGTGTGCGAAGTGCCAAGGAAATACTGCAGAAGGAGACGTTGCCTCATATCTCACAGAGCGAAGGCAGTGAGACCAGGAAGGCGTTTTTCCTTGGCTACATGACTCACAAGCTGCTGCAGTGCGCCTTAGGAAGACGCGATATTGACGACCGCGATCATTTCGGAAAGAAGCGATTGGACCTCGCAGGACCTCTGTTGGCGAAGCTCTTCCGCACTATCGTTCGTCGCATGAATCAAGAGCTTTCGGGGCATCTCAAGCGTTGCGTCGAATCCAACCGACAGTTCAGCCTGACTCTCGGCGTCAAACCCCAGACGTTGTCTAATGGTCTCAAATACTCGCTAGCGACAGGAAATTGGGGAGATCAAAAGAAGGCTGCGAGCTCAACCGCTGGTGTGTCCCAGGTCTTGAACCGGTACACATTTGCATCGACCTTGTCACATTTGCGGCGGACGAACACGCCCATCGGCAGAGATGGCAAGATCGCCAAACCTAGACAACTCCACAACACTCACTGGGGCCTGGTGTGTCCCGCCGAAACGCCAGAAGGGCAGGCTTGCGGTCTTGTCAAGAACCTATCCTTGATGTGCTATGTCAGCGTCGGCACGCCAGCAGAGCCCATCATCGATTACATGATCCAGCGTGGTATGGAGGTTTTGGAAGAGTACGAGCCGCTCAGGTATCCCAACGCGACCAAAGTTTTTCTCAACGGTGTCTGGGTAGGCGTTCATCAAGACCCGCGCGTGCTGGTCCCTGACGTTCAGGGCACACGTCGTCGAAACGTCATATCTCACGAAGTGTCCCTGGTCCGCGACATTCGCGACCGCGAGTTCAAGATTTTCTCCGACGCTGGTCGAGTCATGAGACCGGTCTTCGTTGTCGAGCAGAGCCACCACGGTGCCGTACCTCAGGGCTCGCTCGTACTACAGAAGGATCTTGTCAATGAAATGCGGGACCAGCAAGAAAACCCTCCCGATAACCCAGAAGACAAGATCACGTGGCAAACATTGGCCCACAGCGGTATCATCGAGTACCTTGATGCTGAGGAAGAAGAGACATCGATGATTTGCATGACGCCTGAGGATCTAGAACTCTACCGATTGCGCAAAGCTGGGCATGAAGTTGAAGAGGATATCTCCGAAGGGCCTAATCGCCGCCTACGAACTAAGATCGCTAAAACGACGCATATGTATACCCACTGCGAGATCCATCCGAGTATGATTTTGGGAATCTGCGCCAGTATCATTCCCTTCCCCGACCATAACCAGGTACGACATCATATTTTCCCTCTAGCTGCTGACGTTCATGGAACATGCTAACATTCTGTCAGTCGCCTCGTAATACATACCAATCCGCCATGGGCAAGCAAGCAATGGGTTTTTTCCTGACGAATTACTCTCGAAGAATGGACACAATGGCCAACATTCTTTACTACCCGCAAAAGCCTCTCGCCACGACGAGATCAATGGAGTTTCTGAAATTCCGAGAGCTTCCCGCGGGGCAGAATGCCGTCGTCGCTATTGCATGCTATTCTGGTTACAACCAGGAGGACTCGGTCATCATGAATCAAAGCAGCATCGATCGAGGCCTATTCCGCAGCCTGTTCTTTAGGTCGTACACGGATTGCGAGAAGCGGGTAGGCATCAATCTCGTGGAACAATTTGAGAAACCGTTCAGAAACGATACCCTGCGCCTTAAGCATGGAACGTACGACAAGTTGGATGACGATGGTATTGTGGCGCCAGGTGTTCGCGTTTCTGGCGAGGACATCATCATTGGCAAGACGTCGCCGATTAACCCCGATAATCAAGAGCTTGGCCAACGAACGATGCAGCACGTCAAACGAGATGCCTCAACGCCATTGCGAAGTACGGAAAACGGCATCATTGACTCGGTTATCCTCACAACGAACCAGGACGGCTTGCGATATGTCAAGGTGCGAGTGAGGACCACCAAGATTCCGCAGATCGGCGACAAATTTGCTTCTCGTCACGGTCAGAAAGGAACGATTGGTGTCACGTACCGCCAGGAAGACATGCCCTTCACCTCAGAGGGTATCACCCCGGACATCATCATTAACCCTCATGCCATCCCTTCACGAATGACCATTGCGCATCTGATTGAATGTCTGCTTAGCAAAGTGTCGACATTGAAGGGTATGGAAGGAGACGCAACGCCTTTTACCGACGTGACTGTAGACTCCGTCTCGCAGCTTCTCCGCGACCAAGGTTATCAATCTCGAGGATTCGAGGTTATGTACAACGGCCACACTGGAAAGAAATTGCGTGCTCAGGTATTTTTTGGACCAACTTATTACCAGCGGCTGCGTCACATGGTCGACGATAAAATTCATGCACGCGCCCGCGGCCCCGTGCAGATCATGACAAGGCAGCCAGTCGAAGGTCGAGCCCGCGATGGTGGCTTACGGTTCGGCGAGATGGAGCGAGATTGCATGATTGCACACGGTGCTGCCTCATTCTTGAAGGAGAGGTTATTTGAGGTCTCGGATGCTTTCCGGGTTCATGTTTGTGAAATCTGTGGCCTCATGACACCTATCGCGTAAGTCCTCGACCCCTAAGAATTCCTGATGCGACGTATCGCCTACTTAACAGTCTTGCAGAAACCTGTCAAAGCAATCCTTCGAGTGCCGCCCTTGCAAGAACAAGACGAAAATCGCTCAAATCCATATTCCGTATGCCGCCAAACTCCTTTTCCAGGAACTGCAATCAATGAACATTGCTGCCCGAATGTTCACGGACAGGTCTGGCGTTTCGATCCGCTGAAAGCGCGGGTGTATAGCGGGGCAAACGTCCGCAACAGACACCACTCGACGCTCAAGACGATTGGGGTCATGCACTGGAAAGGCGTCTCGTCGGATGCACATCATTGGGGCTCTCTTTGATAGGTAAGACGTCACTTACAAGTCAGTTGTGAACTCAATTAGCACGTTAGGCTTGTTTGATGCCCGAAATTGTACAGTAATAGCAGCAGTTCTCGCTGCAGACCGGGCCCGGAAAAGGGGGGAAAGCGTACAGGTACGCGGCAGACGCATCAATCCGCATTTACCAAGAGGGCCAAAGGTAGCCTGTCATAATCAAAATCCCCGAAACTCGTGGTGAAATGCGTCACTTGCGCGGTTCTGCGCAGTTATCTCTGAGTTGTGATTTGTATGGTTCCCCTGTGTTTGGGTTGTCTGAAGTGGTTGTTACCACCCATTATTTCGTTGTTGTAGCCTGTGAATAGCAAAGATTGTCGCGAGTGCATAGTGAAGCGCGCTTCCTGCATGATTACGATATTGTTGAGCTTTGCGATGATTCCGGAGTTGTCGAATCCCGGACAGTTTGTTCCCGTTTGTATTCTTGTTCCAGAGCGCGCTGCAAATCGAAGTCCAGTTGCCGCTCTCTTTTGACTCGCTGTTGTTCCATGTCCCTCAGCACACCTTGATGCATGGCCTGCGCCGAGTCACGTCAATTAGCACCTAAAGTTCCTTGTCGGGTGTGGATGTTGTTGGAGTAAAAAAGACTTGCCTGCTTCTCAGACCTTTGCTGGAAATGAACCATAATGATCGTCCCCAGGGCGAAGAATGACGTACCCATCAGGGTGAGCTTGGATGCGCGAGACATTGCACTGATTGCCGGCGATGCCAAGTTTGGCTTCCCTTCCTGATCAAGGCCGTATAACTTGGGATACCGTCGCGGATAGGAAGAGAATCGCGCGGTAGAGGCTTGACGATTCGAAGACAGACCCGAGAGCAAGTCCTAGAGGTAATATGCACCACCTACCTAGATATGCAACTACCTAGCCGCAGTATGTACATATTTACACAAAATGGGTAGGTTGGGAGGTGGATCGACCTCGTGAGTGGCGTTGGATCTCGACAGTGCACTCCCCCAATGCTCCTGTGCAGATGGAACAACTCGTCTTTTATATACACATCTAGTTCCCTCACATAATGTCTGTTTCGTTATTACCTCGATTCGACAGATGGTGCTTATCATGATCGTTGCAGGCGATTTAATGCACATGGGGTCCGCGATTCAGGCCCCAGTGCTCAACGGCTCGCCCGCCCGACCGCCCTGATATTTGAATGATGACCGATGTTCTCGCCCAAGTAACACAATCCGTGCCCTGCATTCAGCAAACTTGGTATCGTGCAAGATCGTGAGAGCGAACATGGTGCGATTAGCTGAACAAATGCCCCTCCACAATGGCACTGGTCGGGGCGCGTGCCTGTCAGCACAGATAACCAAGAAACGTGCTCTGTGCTCCACTCATGACGGCCCACCATACAACCACCCACCTCCTCTCTGTGCCCGGCCCCGTTTGCAGCCTGGCGCCGTACGTCCGCAACATCACCATCGCCGCCGCCAATTGTACGCCCTTCAACCAAGTATACGACGAGCAAGCCAATCTACACTTGTTGAACAAAATTTTGCCTCCGCACCATCGAAGTGAGGAGCTAACTGAAAGGCTCTGCATCACTGGGCTCGTCACCGACAGAGCTCGCACGTCACCCAGGAGGCAGTCTCCATAAACCCAGCGGAAGCTTGAGATAGTAGGCACAAGCAACTCTGCAGCCATGGTCAGTGACCGTTACCACCCTTTCACATCATATCAACAGTCAAGCTAATAATCGACATAGTCAGCACAGAACTCGGCGGGTATTCAGACCCTATTGGACGTATGCAACCAACTAAACACCAGCTGCGTCAATACAATCTACAGGATTTAACTGATGCACTGACAGGCGGAGAGAGATGCGTCGAAAATTGTGCAGAAGGGTCAGTATATGTGCATTTCCTTACGAACGTCCGTCTCGGAAATCAATACTGACTGATCTGGATCTGAACAGCCCGCGAATGTACGTTCGTCTTGCTCTACGTGCAACCTGCATTCCATAGCCCTCTGTGCGGTGTCCTGACCTCAATTCTTAGATCGCACGAAGCGAGTGAAGGAAGCTCGGGATGAAGCGAAGCAGGAAATCGAGGACTACAGACAGTCCAAGGAGGCTGAGTACAAGAAGTTCGAATCGCAAGTAAGACCGACTCCGATGGACTTCTGCAACACATTTCTGGCAGACGGTATTGCAGCTGATCATAGACTGACATCAACAGCATTCGGCGGGCAACAAGCAGGCTGAGGATGATGCGAACAAGGAGGCGGACGCCAAGATCTCGGAAATCAAGGCTGCAGGGCAGAAGAACCAAGACAAGGTGGTCAAGGACCTCTTGAAGGCCGTCTTCGACGTGAAGCCCGTGCCTCCCGCGGCTGCGTGAGTGCTTCCACTGTTTCAGTGCTGCTCATGAACAACCACCTGTCTTTCAGTTCAGCGAAGGCGGGTTGTGCGACTTACAATTAACCCGCAGCCCCTTGACCCGAATTATCCTAGATTCAAATCACCGTTTTTACTATTCCTTATCTAGAATAATGTTGTAACCTCCCCTTGCCACAAGAACTGCTACACAAAATGGAGTAGCGCACCTAACATGTCTTTCTTATCGCTGATTCTGTCCACTTCATCGCCAAGGTCGTCGAGCTGTCCCTGAAGGGACTTGCGGAGGATTTCCAGATTTTCACCCTGGTCGGCAAACAGCCTCTCGATAGTAGCACGTGCGCCGCTGTCTTCTGCAACGAGCCATGCCAGTACGATGTCCACTGCCTGCAGACCAAATAAGCCACCTTCCAGTCTCCAAGACAGCCACTCATCCGCCGCCTCAGACCCGGCGTCTTCGGCCAATTCATCTCGCTCGGCTTGTATACGCTGCTCGACAACCTTGAGCCTAGAGGCAAGGTTTTTCCGGACCGTCACCAATCTCTCGGTCTTTTCGTATCTTTTCTCGACAAATTTGGCAAGGGTACGTATTCGCTCTGCTGAATTCAGAGGTAGAAGTCGCAGCAAGGATGCAAAGATATTAACCAGATGCTCCACAGTCGGGCCGTCTTGTCGTTTCATGAACATGGTGAATATATTCTTCAACCCACCAGCCTCAACCAGCCTCTGACAGGTCTCGCCGCCGGCCGCCCCAGCCGTGCTGTGGTCGAGGAGGCGCAAAGCTGGCATTTTACTCGTCTTTCCTTCCCTCAGCATGATCAAACATAACTCTATGCCCTCGGCTTCGAGCAGTTTAGTTTTGCCTTCGGGCTCATCGACTAAACACGTAAGAGTTTCAAAGAGATTCTGCATGTACTCTGCCTCGCTGCCCCTCTCAGGATCGCGCTTCCTGTAGACTGCCACCAGCTGTAACGCAGCGTCGACAGTGCCGAGAGAGGTGAGCTTGGCACGTGTTTGAGATGACGTTTGCGCAATGACGGCGAGTATTTCAGCGCAATACTGCTTGTTCTGCGACACGATCGCGTCTTTCAGCTGGATCCTCGCCAAGAGCCAATTCACCAAGAGGTCGTTCTGACCAACCCGTTCAGCAATAGATCGCCGCGAAAGAATATTCTCGACGACAGACAGCGCATGGTAGACACCACTGCGGTCAGCCTCGTCATTCTCATTGAGACGTGTGAGGTTCGAGACAAGTAGGTCAACCAGATCTGCCTCGAGCATGGAATCGACCAGTGTGTTCCAATGGTCATCAGTGGCCGCTACGTCCTCGTCAGTCAGCTCCCCAATGATCTCTACTGCGTCAATTGCAATGTCGGTGTTGTCATGCGCCAGCAGCCCAACAAGACTGCCCACGCAGCCAAGGCGCACTAGCTCCGGCCAAAGACCGGGGTAGTCTGACAATATCGACAAGTCTTTGATGGCTGTGTCGAGGTCGGCTTCGCTCGCAATGAATTTTTGAGGGTCGTTCTCAAATTTCGCCCGCAGTTCAGCGTTTTTGTTGATGTGTTTTTCGAAGCTCAGGGCTGTCTTCCGAAGCCAAGTGTTGTCTATGTTTTCTGGCATCGGGATGTCGTCCGCACGAGCAGCGACATAGTCCATGATTTCCGTTTCCTGCCTCGATACGCCGCCACCGAAGAAGCGGCCCTCGCCGTCATCGTCTTCTTCGACATCGATGCCATCATTATGCGTAAGTGAAGGTGCGAGGGGGTTGTGGTCGTCATCTAGCCCTGATTCGGTCTTGGGAGTTGGGTCCGAGATGTGCCCTGTCCGCCCAGTGCCAAAAACGTCGTTCCTTGCTTCATTTCGCCGCAGATCATTGTCGTTGAGCCTGGCCGATTTGTACACCTCAGCTGTGATATATGTCAGGGACATAGTCTATGGTTACTGTGCGACTAGTTGGTGGCCTACCCGGGTCTCGAATTGGGTCCAGCCTTCGTTTGCTTTGGGCTCCTGCTTGCTATTTCATGTCCTCAGTCATGTTGCTCTCAAAGTGGCGGAGAATATGTGCACGAACCGAGAATAGATCGTCAACCTTCGGCATGACAGCTGATAACAATCTCGCCCTTGGACGATCTGTGATTTGAAGTGTGTGGTCCCGAATGAGGTACGAAGCGAACCGAGTTTGTGGTCGGGCGCTCCCAATGGCCTTGCCAGACGAGCCTATTCAAAAGTGCTGCGTGCAGCCTTGGTTGCATGCATGCATTTGCAAAGAAGGTATGTCAGATAAAGACAAGCTGGGCAGGTAGGTTGCATAGATGCTGGGAATACTGAATCTACCGTGACAGGCACGCCTTCTCGTGTCGTGCATGGACTGGGCCCACAATTCGGGTCCCACGGCGCCAACTGGGATCAAGTTGTGTGAACCAATAGCTCGTTTAGATGTTCCTGGCTTGTATTATCTGCCCATGAGCAAGCCCATGATCAAGAAGGCAAACCTAAATAAGGGTTTAGCGACCTTTCTTGAAAAGTCAGTTCAATCTAGAGCAGCACTCTTTCTAGGGTTCGTGTGTGCGGTATTCAGGACCATCGCGGCGCGAGAAAAGGTGGAGTTGAGAACCCCAGTGCAGTCGTATAGCTTGAGCCAGTGAGCACCTAAGGGGACTTTGTTGACCCGACCTCACGGCCCTGGGCCCGTCTCACCACTTATATGTATGCCAAATCTCAAGTTTGAGTCTCTGTCGGGGCGAATATGCTTCGGGACACGAGCACTGTAGTAGTTAAGCTGGAAGAGATGAAGACAGTCGAACCATCTCATGGCTGAGTATCGTGGCTGACGAGCTGATGGAAGGTTGTTGAACGGAACAGGGGCCCATGTCATGTGCGGTGGCTGTGCCAGATTCGGATGAGAGTCATCGACAGCTTTCCCCCAGAAGTCCATTTTAAGAAGCTAGTCCTGGTCAGCTTGCCCGGACTGTACTGATCCCCCGCTCAGCTACAACAGGCCTAAGTGGGCAGCATATGAAAGATGCCCAACACAATTGTACTCATCCGACATGCCCAGGCTCTACACAACGTCGGCAATAAGTCCCACCAGCGAAGAAACCGCAGCGTACATACTCTGACCCCGGATACAGAACTATACCATTCCGGATCCCCCGCTATCTACCCTTGGGCTGGCTCAGTGTCGGGAACTTCGATCGAGTCTTTTAGAGACTTTTGGCGACGTGCAAGAGGCCGCAATCATCGTCAGCCCCATGATACGCACAATCCAGACCGCATTGCTCTCGTTAGACTGGCTGGTTGACAAAGGTGTGCAGATCCGGGCCGACGCCACATGGCAAGGTGTGACATGTCCGATTTCTGTTGACCAAGCTATCAACGACTTGATCTAACCGCATCGACTGACAATGACGCAGAGAACTCCATCAAGCCATGTGACACAGGTAGCACAATTAATACCCTCGCGGAACGCTTCCCGACTGTTGACTTTTCGACCATCGATCCCATCTATCCCGATAAAACTTCCAACGGTGCAGCCTCGTATGCGTACACACGGCGTGCCATCCTAGCTCGGGCCGAGACTGGGCTGAGAAGTCTTCAGGCAAGGCCAGAAAAGATTGTGTTTGTTGTCTCGCATTCCGGTTTCCTTCGCGCTGGTCTGACAGGCTTCTCGTTCTTCAATGGCGATTTCCGAGTCTTCGAACTCGTCGCAGCAGCTGAACCAAGGCAGCTGCCGCAACTGATGCAATGGGCCGCGACGATCCGCGGTGGTCTTGGCAAATCAAGCGTCGACATAGTAGAACTTGGTTACCATCTTCCGGATGATGAGGTTCAGACTGCCACATCGAACTGAATGATGTGGCAGCACACGGCAGAACCAGACGGCCATCATCGCGCCAGAAAACTTTGAAATGCAGATTGATCAATGACCACGTTTCCCACGGCGCGAAGACGCTTTCGGCCTGCCTTCTGCTTCTCCAAAAGTTTCCGTCGGCGGGTGATGTCACTTGCATGGAGTTTGGCAAGCACGTCTTTTCGGAATGGCTTAATTGTCTCGCGGGCCACGATTCGCCTCCCGGCAGCTGCTTGAATCACGATTTCTAGGGACAAAGGATACGTTAGCGAGATGGCACATATGGACAAGAACTGAGTCACACTATCATACCAAACATTTGCCGATCCACGTGTTCCTTGAACTTGGTCACCCATTGACGGCCCAGTCGCTCAGCTTGGGACACATGGATGACCCTACAGATAGCATCGACTGGAGCTTTGTTGACAAGAAGCTGCAACTTGGTCAGCTGGCTGGGTCGCCAACCAGCGTCCTCGTAGTCTAATGTAGCATAGCCCTTTCTGTTTTGGGGGCAAGTCAGCTTTACGATATACCTCAATGAGAACAGCACTTGGAGGACTTACGTAGCACCTTTGAGTTTGCCAAATAAGTCGTCGACCAGATTAGACGCGGGGATCTCATAACGCAAAATGACTTGGGTGGCGTGGAAGAAGTCAAGGCTTTTCTGCTCCCCTCGCATACTCTCGCACAGTTCCATCACTCGACCAAGGTATTCTTCAGGTAGAGTGATAGTCGCAGTAACGAAACTGTATAGTCAGGACCATCGGCTGGCAGAGGACAGAAAGATAATACTTACAGTTCGTACGTTGTGGCGCCACGCATGCGATGATCATCAGTGGACGGGAATTCAGACGGATTCTGGAATATTTCCTCGGTACCATCTTGCCATTCCACCTTTGTAGGCACGGTGGGGTCTGTGATGATCACACTTCCACCATGTTCCTGGCGGAGACGATCTTGAAAAACAGAGCAGTGTAAGCTCCCCAAGAACCCAAGCCGCCAGCCGGACCCCAAGGCTTCAGAGAAGTCCTTCTGTAACGTCACGCTGCGGTCATTCAGCACCAACTGGCTGATGCTGTCAGCAAGACGGCTGTAGTCATTCGGGTCCACTGGGAAAGCAGCAACAAACACCATGGGTTTGGGTTCTTCGAACCCTGGATATGGCACAACCGAATCCTCATTCCCAACCGTCGTGAACGTATCACCGAGCTTGGCATCTTGAATGCGTTTCATGCCAGGGTTGAAGTGAATATATCCTACCTGTCCGGCTCGCAGGACGCTCTGCGACACGGCACCAGGATACTGGATTCCGACTTCGCCTACGGTGTATTTGTTACCAGTCCCGAGTGATACAAGTTGGTCACCAGCTTGTACCTGACCGTCAAAGACACGAACAAGCAAGATGACACCCCGGAAATTGTCGTACCATGAGTCAACAAGGAGCAGGCGAAGCTGGCCTGACGAATCTCCGACAGGAGCAGGTATGCGCTCCACGACTTGGGGTAAAATACTTGCAACATTCTTACCAGTCTTTGCCGATACCAGCACGGCATCTTTGGGGTTAAGTTCAAACGACGACTCTATCTGCTCGAGAACACGAGGAGTGTCGGCAGAGATCATGTCAATCTTGTTGATAACAGGTATCAATGCTAGATCCTGCGCAAATGCGAGGTGAAAATTGGACACAGTTTGAGCCTGGATACCTTGACTCGCATCCACTAGCAGCAGTGCACCACCACAGCTTGCATAAGATCTCGTCACCTCGGCTCTGAAATCAACGTGCCCGGGTGTGTCGACTAGGTGTAGAAGATAGTCCTGTCCTTTGTAGTTGTATATCATGGTACAAGTCTGTGCTTTGACGGTGATGCCACGCTCGCGCTCCACGTCCAGTTTATCCTGTGCACAAGATAACTCAGCTGCTGCAACTTAAACCAAAGCAGCGTAGTGTCGGGTTTTACCAGTATCTGTTTGTTCGAGGCGTTGGCAGAAATCGTCCCAGTCAACTCGAGGAGACGATCACTGAGCGTGCTCTTACCATGGTCGATGTGAGCAACGATGCAAAAGTTACGATAGCGCTCAATGGGAATAGACGAAATGCGCCGCTCGAGATTGGGATAAGCGTGGCTGTCTGGCGTTCTCGGCGCTGCAAATGCCAGTCCACAGCCCCCATGGAAACCTTGCGAACGTACGGCTGCAACAGGAGGCAGGTGAAAGCGGTTTCGGTGCTCTGTGATTATTTTCGGTACGCGGCGAGGGCCACGACATACAAGTTGATACAGAACACTACGCAGAAAGTGCGAACCTGGTGCCGAAACGCTCATCGTCGAACGTATAGGTGTCCGTCAACTTGGCATGTCAGTGTGGTCGGGTCGCAGCCAAAGCTTCCCAGCAATGTATAGAATGAAAAAAACGCGCCTGTCGGGCCGTTACAATTGATTTATATGGACGCTGTGTCGAAGAGACGATTCCGGATCGTAGAAAGGGATGCTCGAGCAGGAACTGTGGTCGCGTCGTGTCTCAATTGCCATGATGCTGAGGTACAAGTTTCAGTACCCAGCCAACTTATCACTAGCAACCTGAGTTGCCTGATAAGATCTTTATCTATCTATTTCAGGCAAGGCGTTTGCTTAAGGTGAGGCACGCGTCGCGAACGGTGGCGCCAATGGTCACGTGCGCGACTACCCAGTCTACAGACGCCCTACTAGCTTGCGGCAAATCGCAAAGTCCCCGAATCTTGATCATCGGAATGACAAGGGGAACTGCTGTGTTTGCCGACATGCTAGCCCTGCAAACGGAGAAGATCTATCCTATTCGCACAGTTTCAACTGCCATACTCATCGAGTCCGAGAACATCCTACGCCATCACCCACTCACTTCCCCTCTTAACAAACTTATCGAGAAGAGTGCTGACATCGTTCATCACAAAGCGGCAGATATAGAAGCCGAAAAACTCAGCAGCATGGCGGGTGCAGAGCTCAAGGCCTACCTGGGTTTTATCTGCATGACGAAGTCCGGGGTCTTCTACCTGTCGAGCAATCTGGTCTAATTGATATCAGCAGTGACCAATTGACTCGGGCCTCGTAATCATCTCACCTATGGCTTGTGCAGCATCAAACAACCGTGCCAATGATCCCATATATGGGGCGTTGGGCCCAGAGAACTCAACACTGCCCATATCACGCTTGGCCGGACGGCTCGTGGGATGCGCAGTCATTGGCAAAGTTTCCAGTGAAGGTGACTCCTTACCATTGTCTCCAATATTGTTTTTGCCATAGCTACTACTCAGACCTGCGGCCGAGTTCTTGGATCGGAGGCGCCGCCATGAAAAAGACGAGGATTTGCCAGAGACACTACCAGACCGCGGCACGTTGATCGCTGCTTCAATTTCTGCGGAATTTGAGGCATCACGAAACAGAGTGCCAGAATTTTGCACGCCGACTTCCATGCCAAATTTGCGCGTGAGGTTCGCTTGCACTTGTTCAAGAATACCTTCAAGCGCCTGCATCTCCTCTAAAACGGCGTCGGCGTCGCAGGTATCTACCTTTGCAAGTTTGAGGAGCGCGGCAGTCAGATAGTCACAAATTGCGATTTTGTCGTCGACACCCCGGATCTTGACGCCTCTGACTTTCCACGCGTCTCGAGGTACGAAAAGCTTGTTGCTCAGGTAACCGCCGCGAGGGTGCACAAGTGTCTGATAAAGACATCTCATCAACCAGAACGGCCGGAGCAGATAATCTGTTGGGCAGGGCTCAAGAGATACTGGGGTATATGGGCTTGCTAGGCCTGGCGATACAGGGCTTTGCGGACCGTGAAAGCTGTCGTCGAATAGGTGAAGTCCTCCTGCCAAGTTCATCCTATCTCTAAACGCGGCCGTAAGTGGGGTTGCAATTGCTGGCATAGCCGTTCCCTTGATATGTGGTGCGAAGCCATTACTCAAGGGTGTACCTGGAGACATGTCTGAAGTATCATCAATGTTGGAGGTCGACATGTTTCGGCTTCGCAAGCTCCTCAAACTTGATGAGGAGTAATTCTTTCTCAATGCGGGCGGAAAGATGACAGGTGAATTAGCACGGCTGTCCATGGCATCGCCATCACCGTTTTCTGCTAAAGGAAGTTGAGTCGGCGTTGGAGGCAATGGCTGTGAGGGACTGATCTCGCTGCCAATGGATGACCGTTGGCTCAAGATGCCTGCATCAGGAGCAACACCTCGGGGTGATATGTCGTCCTCTTCCGCTGCATCAATTGTACGTGGTTGGAGAGTTTCAGCGGCATGAGTTGCGGCGCCGTAATTACTCGCCTTTCCGGTCTCAATTTTGAGTTGCTTCAGGTTCTGGCCAGAAAGCCGACGGCTTCTCACAGTCTGGCCAGATACTGGAGATGTTCCGCGGGATAGAGACGAGCCTATCTTGATGGGTGGTTGAGGTAGAGATTGCGTTGGCGGGGGTGCGAGTGGTTCAGATGCCGCCATGTGAGTGGTGCTGGTATCTGTGACGTGAGGGACGGGAGGGGCTCCGTAGGTGGACTGCCAGGAGTAATCGGTGAAGTGCCCTTGGGGTAATTCTTGTGGGACCGGCCTTACTTCGATAGCATTCGCCAAGTCTTCAGTGGCTAGGGCGTGGGTTATTTCTGCCAGAAGGCGGTCTTCGTCCTCGGAAGAGTCATCCTCGTAAAAGTCCCGGCGCATGGTATCAGAGTCCTGTCTCTGTTTTGAGAGGCTAATTTCGTGCCCTTCATCTTGTAAATCTTGAACTGTCTGCTTTGTAGGCAGGTTCCTCCCTACGGAATTGGAAGCAAGCTCCTCGTCACTGCTACCCTCAAAGCCCGAGTGGTCAGCCGGTTCATAGCCATCATTGTAAGCTGCCTCGACTGCAGCGTCTAACGCAGCATCAAATTCAGCTTCAGTGGCACCACTAGTGGCACGTATATGCTTTCTCCGTAAACCACGTGAGGACGTCCGGGAATGCACAGATGATGCCGTAGAGCCGCTTGATTCATCGATAGGGTCTAACCATGAGTTAGATTCTCGGCTAGAGGACCGCTTATTGACTGTAGATGAATCTTCTCGTGCGGTCGGCATAGAGAAGTCTGCCCTCACAGCCGTGTCAGGGCTGAAGGGCCTCTGGGCTTCTTCGGGTGAATCCGAGCGCCGTGGTGAAAGCGGGGGCGGCATTGAGAAGTCGTCTTCGGGTGTTTGAAAGAGGACGTGAGTATCGGACCTGGAGAAGGATGACTGCAACGGATATTGACCCCCACCCCTCCGTGAAGGACCGGATACTGGATCTTTGCTGAGACTGCCCCGGCGGTTACCGTGACTCCGGCTACTAGCCCTGATGTGAGGGCGGTAGTGATTGGAATCTATGTCTGAGTCAAACGACGAGCTTCCACCTCGGTCTTTATCGCTGCCGACCGCGGTGTAATTATCAAGCCCCCTAACATTTTCGTAGTCCTCAAACTCATCGTCAGTGGAGCGGGAGGTTGGCCCAGAGTATAATTCTAAGCTTTCGGGGCGTGCTGGAAGCTCCTTGCCCTCTGGGCTTTGGGCTGGTCCAATATGATCCAACTCTTCTATTCTGCTAGTGTAGGTTCGCCGCTACGCCACAAAACGTGAGTGTCAGGACCAGCACTGGGAAAGATGAACTCACGATAGCTTCCAGCTTGCGCTTATCTTCATCTGTTGTGGTTCGTGACAAGACCTGCGACAGCAGGTCGCAGGCCTCGGCATACGATTGGCGCGCCCCTTCAAAGTTTTGAGCATTATCGAGCTGAACTGCCGTATTGGCTCTCTGAAGAGCTCTTGATAGCATTGCTTTCTGGGAAGGGGATTTGGTGTTTTTGTCCTTGTTGTGGACTGAGGGTGTCGAGTCCGTACTGCCTTTCGCAGCTTGGGAGCGGTTTCGGGAATGGCCTCTTGCCAGTGGCTCTTGTCCAGCGTAATCGCTAGGCATGATTGACAGCGATTACAATCATCCAGCGATTAGCCAACTGTACCTGCATACGCCAGCGGCATGCTGTGGTTCTTTACAGGTTGTATGTTTAGACTGGTGGGAAACGAAGGCGATGATTCCCGCCGTAGGGATAGAGGGTTAGGTGGTGAAGGAGATGCCTAGCACTTGATACAGCACATTGGCGTGGTTGGAGAATGCGGGGGTATGGAAGGGCGGGGGGCGGGTGGGTATCCCCCACTACACTCTCAGCCTCGCTGTTAGACTCAGGAAGCCCTGTTACATCGGTGCTTGTAAGACCCTGATCCTCTTATCTATTGCAATTGAATTGCAATGAGTATAATATTACTAAGTCTATATAGGTATAAGAGTCTAGACGTTAGATTCCTAAAAGGGTATCATTACTAATAGGTTAACGTACTTCCCAGGCGAGTAGACCACCCAGGCGAGTAGACTACCCTATTATACTTATCGATATAAAACCCCTACGAAATTAATTACAATACTAAAAATTAATTCGTCTTTACTCGAAATCGTCTACTCTAATATAATCTATATAT